ATTAGTGCACCGAAGTGTTAGTTTTTTAATGTTTTATGTATGTAATGGAGGGGGGTGGGTGGGGTACAGGGGAGCCGCAAAAACCTAACAATTCAACTTACACTCACTATTTTCTTCGAAAATATATGTCAGTTCCACAAAATTCAAATTTACCCAGTTGAGTAACTCAATATATAATGATAATTTCGGTTCATAGTAGTGTGTGGGTAATTCCATTGAAAACAGGCCGATTCAATCTGCCTAGTTTGACGTTTTGCTTTTCAGCAATCTACCCAGTCGAAAATGAAATCATATATATATTTATTTAAATATGCTTGATTTAAAATAATTAGATAAATGCAGAATTTTATTTCATCGACGCGTTAAAGGCTATTCGTTAATACATTGAAACAATTTTCACGGCTCTGCATTTACAGGTAGTCAGCAAAAAAAACAGAAATTTAAAATTTAAATGTAAGAAATTTTTAGTAAAAAATTAAAATTAACAGAGAAGCAAAAGAAACACAATGCCTTTCCATTTCCAAATTCATTTTATCGATTTCTGGAGATTTGAAAAACGAGTTACCATTCCGGTATTTGACTGTGGGTCAAATGAATTTCATCCTGGCCGTTGGATACAATAGTTAAAGTTCTCACTTCATTCTTGCGCAAAATTGAGTACAAACCAAAGACGTCCATGATGGTGGTACCGCTGACTAGGAACGCGACAGTTCACTTTTAGTTCCGATCTGACGAACTGTTAGGATCTAGTCTGGCCTGTCCAAACAGTTCGTTCGCTCATTTGAGTTGAACTTTGATCTGAGAGCTGCTATGCATCTACCGCTGACGCCATGGCGGTGGAGGTGCGACAACGACAGCTATTTTAAGAAAAATCTTAAAATGTTGTTGAATTTTCACAGAATCTCGACTACTATATATTTTATATCGTAAAACTTAGAAAATCTAACCGAATGGATGGAAAAATATCGAAAACAAGAATATGAGATGAACATGAGCATGTAAGATTGAATTGAGGGTGAGGGAGACTTGTACTTCAATATACTCTCGTTTTCAGTATTTCTATCCATCTGCATGTGTATTAATTTTGTTTTCGATATTTTTCCTTTCTTCCTTTTCCCATCATACCATTTATATTGATACCCACCCGACACCCTTGAATAATAAATATGGTAGTTGGAACGATAAGAATGGCAATCCAATCATCGCACGTGAATCTATTTTTGGAATATTTTATTTGATAACAAATAAAAAAATGTCGGTATAGTTCGAACTATATACATCAATTAAATAAAACTAATGGATTAACAAGATGTTATGATGATTATATGTAAATGCGTAGTCTTCATGTACAAGATGGATCATCAATGTATGTTGAAAGATTGGATAATAGAATGTAATATTTCTCCTTTTGTTTCCAAAAACTGTATTTATCTTCAATGGTTAACGGAGTGTTTTTGCCATGCGACTTCTTTGTATTTATTGATGAATATTTTTTTTTTGGTCTTAATCGAGGAGATAAATTATGTAGAGAAATTTTCGTAAGTAAATCAACGCGAGGATCCCTATGCAATGTTTAAAATTCTATTGAATAGGTATCCAGCGATGAGTCACGTTCAAAATATCAGTCTTTGCATGAATGACGACTACACGAAAGTAATAAATACATCGACGCAAAAGCCCATTTGATGCGTATCTTTGCATCGTGATTTATCTATCGTAACGCGAAGAAAAAAAATATTCATCGTTATTAACGACGTCATTAGTGTGCGTACAGGTGATAGATACTTATTTTTTTTGTAAAGACTATAAGCAAACAACATGAGTAAGTTTTGTATTGGTGGCTTGTAGATTCTCTCATTTAATTGCTTGTAGATTTTATCAATAGAGAACTCGAAGAGAAAATAGGTTGGGACTTGAACGGGGATGGACGAATCGGTGGTCCTGGTATCACTTCTCAAATTGAGCAATCGAGTCATTTCGATTTAAATCATGACGGAATCATAGGAGGATATCGACCTCCACCCGGTGGAGGTTAGTCATTTCTTTTGAATATACAATACTGGCGAATTAACGATATTCATATCGACTCTAAATTCGTCTACTTTTCCTAAATGTATAACGTACACCTTTGTTTGAGCTCTTTATTTACGATTTTTAGGTCTTATTGGTAATATCGAACAGGCAACACACTTTGATATGAACGGAGATGGACGTATTGGGGGTGGCGCCGGTTATCGTCCTCCTGGTCAATAAGATCAACCTCAACAAACAAGATCGTATTCGAATGGCTTCGATCTATGCACTCTTATCATTGCTATATATAGTTTATTTTCTCTTTATAATCAAGAAATTTTTATGATTTACTTATCCTTACATCGTTTTTGTTTTATGAAGATCTAAATTTGATGCATATTAATAAGCTTCTTGGCTTATCTATTAATTGTATTTGCACTTACATTCGCTTGATACAAAAAAGAGCTATTAAAACGTATCAATAACATTTACATTCAATTAGAATAAAAAAACTAAATATATCTGAAGAGATAATTGAAGTGTGCTTGTACTATCGATCTTCGCTTTATAGAAGATCAACATAGACAATACTCAAATGTTTTCAAAGTTGATTCGAAACATTTTTATGCTACTATGTTTATTTCTATAAAAAAAAAAAGAAAAGAAAAAGACGAGTGTCAATTTGATCGACAACCGTGGTCCCGAAGGGCCAAATGTGATGCTTCAGTCTCATGACATTGAGTTATGTTTGATCATCGATCGCGGCTCGTCTTTACTCTTCAATATTTGCTTTCTATTTAAGTTGCAGCAAGTTTCAGATTGTGCAATCCTTTTCTCTATGTCACCACTCAGTACGGCTATTGCGAAAGCATAGAATGATACAGAACACAGAATGACTGACTTTTGTCTTTTACGAGAATGTGACTGTTTAAAAACTCATTGTGCATGTGCAGTATTTACGTGCTATGTCTTTTTGACCATGTCCAATTTTTTTCTCTAGCGAGAGAGAGCCAGATCAATGTGTGAGCTGCTCATCAATCATTTTTAAATTAACATGATTAATGTACTATTCAGCAAGCGCTTGAAGACGAAAATTTCTGACTGATAGAAAAGCTTGAATGCATTCAAATGACTGGATAAATATAATTATTTTATGAATCATTCTTGAGCTAGTATAGCCAGATGATTTTGCACGTGTTGCGAATTGTCTATTAAAGTCAGTTTTTAATAAGAAAAATCATCATCGATGCATTTTTTTCTTTGAGTACAAAAAATTATAATATTTGAACTTGAGTTCTTGCTATGATGAAGTGTTAGTCGAAGACAAGACTGCTTCTTCAGTTTCATATAGAGAAGTCTATTCTATCAAGTGAGATATTATTCGAATAGATTTCAATGACTTATACTCTGCATTTAACTGGTGATGATAAAAATTGATTTAAATAAAGCAATACCACTGAACCGTATTGAATGATTTAATAAGTCATCACGAAAAAAGTTTTTTTTTAAACAAGATACTATTCAATTGAACTTGTTTGAGGATATTTTTATTTCAAATTTTGGTTACAATAAAAATAAAGTCGAAAAATTAGAAGTTCATTATTTAGATGAATATTTTAACGTAATTCGCTTATATTTTCAAACAAAATGACCGTACATTAGTGGTATGGATTGTTGCGGTAGATAAATCATGCACGGAGATAATGGACAAAAGAAAGAACGCATATTTTGTTTGTTTGGGAAAGAATAATCAGAAATAAAAAAAAGACATAAAATTATGAATTGGATATAAATCAAGAAAATATAGTTTCACAACCACCAACATAATCATATCTCTTAGATAGTTTTGTTAGAAAAACGATTTTTGAATTTTATACTATTTTCATTATGAGAAATTTTCTCATAACAATCTTAGCTGATGAGAAATAATCAAATATGACTAAATAAGTGAAAGACCAAGAAGAATGTTCATCATTCAAGAATTTTTAACACCAACATATTTTATGAACTGTAAAATAAATAATTTTCTCATTTTGCTGATTTCTTCTTCGTACAATGAAGTAGACGATGTTTCTTCATTTTGTGAACACGTGACTAAATGAATAAAATATGATTTACCTAAGAGAAATTAATAATAATAAATAAAAGTCATTGGGCCGAACGTCTAGCTATTCAAATGAAAAATGGGTACTCAATTTTATCAGAAATATTTTCTTGTTTCTATTGGTCTTTTTTATTTTATTTAGTATCAATGTAGAGACAATTGCATTGAGTGCATCTCTCATCATAGAATAATGAATTACGAATCGAAGTTTAAAATGACTCGATCGTTGAGTATTAAAAAATTATAATCCGATTGATGATACATGAGAGAAATTTAACGTTTTTTCTATTTAGTGAAATGAGATGATAAGCAAATCACTTACTTTATTTAAATGCAGCCTAGTAGAAAATCTTTCATTCGAAGAGGTACATGTATTTCTTTTGTTTTTCTTTGACGACGTTTCAAATTGTTTGAGCAAATCTGAACAATCTAAATTTCGTTCGTTCTCCCACTAAATCAAAAATTAGAAACATTTTTTCGATCGAGAAAGGTCATTCGAATTTTGCACTTGCTAAGCGACATCTATTTTCAGTATTTCTCTTCTTCACTTACAGTGTTTTGATTATGATCAAAGCCTTTCCATTTGAGAAGATATTCGACATGTCCGTTGCGAAGTCTTTTATCAATGATTTTTTCGACCACATAAAATTCTTTCCACATATTTATATCAGAATTTGACGTAGCCAATCGATGTTTGAACATAGCTTGATATTTTTTACTAATATCAAATCCGAGGAACGATCGTTTGAGATTAGCTGCAGCGATCAACGTTGTACCGGATCCAGCAAATGGGTCCAGGACAAGATCTCCTAAATACATAGATTATCAATTAGTAAAACAAATTCTTTCGCTACTAAAGTCGAGTTTTTATTGAGCATTCCTCATGTTTACCTTTATCAGTTGTTGCTAAAATACAAATTTCAGCAAGTAGTGCTGGAAATGGTGCCGGGTGTTTATTTTTTCGATCCGGCGGAATTCGCCAAATCGAGCTTTTAAAACATTCCGGTAAACGATCACGATAAAATGTTGGAGCCGTTACAGTTGATCTAGACGATTTTGTTAACCAGAATATTTTTTCTGAATTAGGCCGAAAATATGCTGCATTTTGATTTGCAGTACAACTGCGATCCCAAATGATTGTTTGGTATAAATTCAAATCACTCCGTATGATAAATTCTTCTGGTGGATAATCCCGATGACGATAACGACGATCTTTATGATTGTAAAAAAGAGAACCATTCGGTTTAAGAATACGATTGATCTCGTTTAAAAGATCAATTTGCCACCGTTTATATTCATGTTCGTCCATATCATCGTCATACGTATCATAGACAATTTGTCCACTGTATGAACTACCCTCTCGAAGACCAAGTTTATTATATGGAGGCGACGTCACAATGCATTGTATTGAGTTACTCGGCAACATTTTTAAACCTTTTAAACAGTCGACGATCAAATACTTGTTAACGATTGACTAAAAGATGAGCATTGATATAGTTTAAAAACAAAACAGGAGATCGAGAAATTTCACAATTACGTGTTAACATGAAAATAACTTTATGTGAAAAAGAATAAAGCCGAGCAATTTTTTGTTTGAACATGATTGACTCGTTCAAAAAAAATCATATTATTCAAAAGAGTATTGCAGAGCAATCCTGCTGAATTTTTTTCCTATCGGAATTCGATATGACAGAAAAGAAAATGTTGTGCTCGTTAAAATAAAATTTTCAATGAATCACATTTAATGAGAATTTATCAGCAAGAAAAATATATATGTATAATACGAGAAGTCATACGTGAACCATAGAGGTACAAAAATAAAACATTACCTTTAGCTTTTTCTTTTCAATACCATCGGGTTTAGATGCTGTTGTTGTTGATGATGAAATCTAATGAAATAAAGTATGCAAAAATATATTCGCGGCATTTTCATTTCATGAATAATTAAAAATTTTCAGAAAAAAAATCAACAGACTAGAAATTTAGTAGATTGAATATTGTTGAAAGTTACATTTAGAATTTCAATTTGTTCGAATAAAAATATAAGATATGTCAAAATAACACTGTAAAATCAGCACTTTTGAAATAGTCTAACTTCTCTCATAGAAGCAAATTAGACAGAGTTGTAAACTTAAGCGGTCGATTATCTTAGAAAACAACTGAGGTCTACGAGAGCATTAATCAAGATCGTAAATATGATAGACAAACCTCATTTTTGATGACAATTCGGAAAGAATATTGATATGTTGATGAATGACCTTGGTTGCTCATCATTGATCTTTCTTTATTGTTGGCAGGCATTGTTGAGTTGATAGATTCAGCTTTTTCATTAGATTTTGTGACACTATGCATCTATAAAATATCGTGAAAAATAGAATTTTTCGTTTGGTCAACATTTTGAATTTACTTTTATTTTGTTGAACTTCTTCGATCGATAGACAATAATGTTATTGAGTGTTTTATCTAATTAAAAGAAAAAGTTGTCCTATTGAGAACCTTAACAATGTATTTAATTCAACTTAGTAAATAAGTAGAAGAGAAATAATCTCTATCCGGATGTGAAATACTCAAATTAGTACATTAAATACACTGATAATTATCATTAAATCCAGTGTTGCAGACATGTCTATGATTCTCAAAAGAGATATTCCATTTCAACATACTTCCGAAATGAATCTCGCTGTTCAGTCGATAAAATTTGAACTATACCAAGATTGACATGACTATTAATCATAATACATATACCAAGTGATTCTCTCTCTCTCTCTCACTTTCTGTTCTGTTTATATTTCATATTTTCAATTTTTCTTCCTTTTTCTTTATCTATTTCTTATCAAGCATGTAATTCCGTTTAAAAGAAACACATGCTTGAAATAGTGGCATCTAATATATGTCTGTAACGTTGAGAGGAATTGAAATTAGGAGATACGCAGTTAACAAATCACTTGCATGAAAGTAATTTTGGAAATAAACAAATCTGACCACGAAATTCTTTCTCCACATATTTATGACACTTGTGGAAATGATCAATTGAGACAATAGATTACTGTTTACATTATTGAGAGAAATAAATAAATAAAGGTTAAACGACAACAGCAGTTGTTCATCAATGTTATTTAAAATAAGCTTTGTTACTAAAATGCTCGATTATGATAGCAAAAAAAATTGAGTTTTTCTTTTTTTCTAATTGTGATTTTGAATGCGTTTAGTTTTATTCTATTCAAATTAAATTTTCGTTTTGAATCAGAAGATTGAAATCTTGATCATTAGGATGTGAGAGCGTGGATGCCATAAGCAAACCGTCACTCTCACTCTCAATTAATTAGTTCATAGTTGAAAGTGTGAAATTTTTCTTCGTAATTTAAATCTCTATAGAATGTGAAATACATGTGAAGTTTTGCTCTCCATCGATTACGATTCAGGAAGAATTCGATGCGAGTGATCAAAACTATTAATTATAGTATCAACCACATACGAGCGTATGAATGCACTTCTACGGTGATGATCATTATTAGTGTATCTTATGGGCGACTGACTTTTATTAACGGGAAAAGCATTTACAGGCGTGTGGGTGTGCTTATTGTACTCGATGGTCACACCCACACCCACCCTAAATAAATAGTGCAGGTGTTTTTAAGCACTCTCCTTGATTCGAGTGATAATATAACTGAAAAATGGCGTGTATTGAAAATTGCTGACTATCAGTGGAATAAAGATGGCCACTGTGGTTTCATGTTGAAGTTGCGAAAAACGATTCTAAATAAAAATCGCTGATTTTAAATGATGTGTAACGAGTGAAAATGAATTTATGTGATTTAATATCGATTTTTAGTTGATTTAGATCAGTTGTTACCCCTGCTATCATTATTGCTGGTTTTATTTCATGATAATACGAATTTCTCTAATTACTTTCTTTGAGTAGTTGGTGTGCTTCATAGTACATTTGAAGGCAAGGATCATTAGCATTAGAGAGTCAAGCGAACAGCATATTATTTTTTGAAAGCAAATTACTCAAAGATAGAGAAAATCAATTCGTCAAATTCAACTATTCAAAGACGCGTTACGGATGTCCCTATTTTTGCTTACATCACACAAGATTCTTTTTTCTTTAGAAGTGAATGGTAAATTGACTATCATCTAAATGTTACAGACTCTTTTTTTGCCATATATGTCAAACTTGAATTCAATTGAAAATTGAAATTTTCAACTTTTAAACCAATAGCATTCTGAATAATCGTGACTCATACATATATCGCTATGATTTGAAAGTTGAAAGTTGAAATTTTCTATTTTCAACTGAATTCAAGTTTCAAGTTTGACACTACTGTTTTTTGCTGAGATTAGTCTAACTGTTCAGATTCAGATACCTTAGATCGATCTCAGAAGAAAAAACATAGCTATAAAAATATGTCATAGTGAGTTAGTCCCTCTTTTCATCATTTAGCAATGTTTATTATTTAACTTTGCTGTTATTATCACCTTCTATCTTTTATCTTTTGTATGTTTGTCATTTCTTTTCATTTTTTGTATTATAAACTTTGATAGACGTGAAAAACCAGAGTGTATTCAAAACAAAAGTCACTCAAGTACTATTTTCTAAATATCTGATAATAATGTTGTTTTTCCTATTGATTATTCCATCGATTTTTATTCTCGTACGAACAGTATCTATTGAAGAATCTAATTCGACAACAACTTTTAGTACTGATAAGTAAAGTATCTTAATATTCAAATGAATATTTGGTTATAGTCGATTGAAATTTAGATTACCAAGGGATGGTCCTTTCCTTGATTTTCGACTTTTGCCCTATATTGGCAATGGTCATTTAGCTACCGTTGTATATAGTGATTTTATTTACATGAATGGGCTTTACAATGGTGAAAATGGTTTGTATATATTTTTTTGTCTTTCTTGGCGTTCGTTTATTTTTCAATTAAAGGTACTAGCCATCGAGCACGCATTCCAAGTACATTGAATTGGAAATTTAAAATAAAGTCGAGATCATCATTATATACTTTAAATGTTTCATCAGGTAAGAACATTTTTCTCAATCATCTCAATTTAATTATATTCGTAGGTATATTTATTGAATCTCTTGAAAATGATGAAGTTCGCATTGAACGACGCTTCTTTGCTTCACAAGAATATACTGAATTGTTAGTTGCTCATGTACTACTAATTCGAAAAGCACCAACAGGTTCGATTGTCAATATTTCGTATATTTTGTTTAGTATGTTACTTTAGGACGGAAAATTGTTGTACCTGTTAAAGTACATGAACATATAACAAGTATTGATATTAATTTAACCGTTGTAACTCGTAATCCTCAATATGTGTAAATAAGATTTAATCTAATTTTTATTTCGCTTTTCATTTTTTTTTCGCATCGAAGTCTTTTATCTGGTAAAACACGTGAAATTGAAAATCATCAATTTCAAGCAGAGACATTGCCTATATTTGTTTATTATACACCATTGCCTATTAAAGGATTTGAACTTGATCAAGAAGAAACAAATCGAACGTACCTTTTTGTTACTTCAATTGATAATAACCAATCAATAGCTAAGCAAAGTTTTGATTATGGTAATTTATTTATGAATATTCTTTCCATAGATCCAATAATGATTATTTTCAATAGCAACAATTGATCAACAACCAGACGATATACTGTCATCGCATATATCTCGATGGAATGATGTATGGTCTAATGGACACATTGATATAGAAGGAGATAATCAATTACAAAGACAAATCAATTCTGCTTTTTATTATATTTTAAGTTCTCTACCACCTTTATCGACGAAAAGCGAATCAAAACAATTTTATGGATTAAGCCCTGGCACTCTTTCACGAGGTGGTCGTTCCGGTGAAGACTATGGAGGTCATTCATTTTGGGATACAGAAACGTGGATGTTTCCGCCAGTTCTTCTTTTCTATCCGACGTAAATACAAGAACAATAATTCTATTGATAGATAAAGAAATTCTTTTACCAGATTGGCTAAAGAAATATTATCGTATCGAATTGCACTAAGCGATTCTGCAGCCTATAATGCTCGTCTATTTGGCTACGAAGGATGGAGGTATCAGTTAAATTATATGTATTCCTTTTTTGCTTGTGATAGAATTATTTTGAATAAGATTTCCTTGGGAAAGTGCTCGAACTGGTGTTGATGTAACACCAGCATGTTGTCCTGAGGGTCGTCTTTATGAAATTCATATTACGGGTGATATTGCATTTGCAGCCAGACAATATATTTCAGCTACAAACGATCAAGATTGGCTATTGAATGAACTTGGCGGAGAATTAATCTATGAAACAGCTCGATTTTGGGGTTCGCGAGCCATTTATAATAATGAGAGAAAACAATATGAAATATTAGGTAAGTCACTTTTCTCAAATAAAATTAATTCATGCTAAATTTATTTTCTGTTAGCCGTTTTACCACCAGATGAAGATGCTCTACCATTCAAAAATAATTCTGTTTATACAAATGCAATTGCTTCACTTTCTATTCAATTGGCTAATTATGTTAGTTGCATTACTAATAGAACGGTACCTCCAAAATGGTTGGATATTACATCTAATCTATATTTCCCTTTTGATAATTCAACTAAAACCTATCTTGAATATGAAGGTTTTAATTTAAGTAAATAACTGACTTGATACGATTTATTTGAAATAAATCTTATTGATCATATTTGTTCATCTAGAGCATACTACTATTAAACAAGCTGACGTTGTTCTTCTTGGATTTCCATTGATGTGGCCAATGAGTGATGAAGCCAGACAAAATGATTTATTAGCTTACGAACCTTTAACGCGTGCTGATGGACCAGCTATGACTTGGTCAATGTATTCAATTGGATTTACTGAATTAGGTGATTTCGATAAAGCTGACCAACTTTTTCGACGTTCGTACGAAAGCTACGTACGATCTCCATTTAATGTTAGTTAATTAAATTTTTTTTCTTTTATTTTTTTTATGATTTTATTTCGATATAACAGGTATGGACAGAAACTCAATCAGGTATTGGTGCAGTTAATTTTATAACCGGTGTTGGAGGCTTTTTACAAGCTATTCTTTTTGGTTATGGCGGTATTCGTCTAAAATTAGATCAGCTTGAATTTAAACCTTATGGCCATCTACCAGATCAAGCGACTAAATTCATCTTTCATGGTATTAAATATCAAGGATTTGTTCTTGATTTGACCATTGATAATAAGATCTATGAAATTTTTGTCAGTTCGAAGAACAACAATAATTACATTACTCTTGTATACGAGTATGGAGAACATCGCGGTTTGCTCAAAGTAAATGACCGTCTCTCATTTCCCATTGGCACACATCTTATTATTCGTCGATCAGTCGCTCTTTGTCCTTGACATTGTTTTTCATTGGCTATTTTGCTTTATGAAATAAATCTTTTGTTTTCTCCATTCCTTCTGAATTTGAAAGATGTTCGAAAAGTTCGTTATGGAACGACCTTTCATCAATTAAGAACACATTGTAGCCACAAAACTTCTAGAATAATCAGAATGCAGAATAATGGGGAATCTTAGAACAATGCGAATAATTAGAATTTGATGAAATACTAATGTAAAAAGAGATGAGAACTAGCAAAAATTCTTTCGAAAAACAGTAGATTCATTCTTTTCTTATAGGGTCTAGAGATTTTCAGCGCGAGTGAAAATCTGCCGCTGCCGGCCTGCTACTGCGCCGCCGTGGACATCTATGCAGTATACTCCTCACGTATTTTCTGCATCATAGTCGACGTTTTGTTGAGTTCTTACTTCTTTACTAAATCTTCCACGTGGTACCAGTAGGACTGTAACGCTTCCAATTCTCATCAATTGATACGGATTACCAATTCCGTTTCCAGAAACTGATCTGACTGACAAGAGCAGCCCTGGAGAAGTAGAAGTGGTCAACCAGATCATAAGAACTGCACTGAAATGAAGCTGTTGAAGTTCTACCAATCAGTCGATACTTAATCTCATAAATAATTCTAATGATTCCAGAAATCTGATTATTTTCATTATTCTAGATTAAGAATCTTCTGATCATTCTGCAAGTCCACAATTCCAATCATTCTAAATTTCCTCAGCGTGTGGGTGTCAGTCTTCTTTTTACTCACACACCCACACCCTCTTAATATAATAGCTAATTAATTATAACTTGACAAAGAGTATAAAATACAGTATAGAAATGACATGTTTCAGATTTATAGACGAAAGTTGTTGTGTAGGTTTCTCTAAAACGAATTACTTAGGTGAGTAACTATCACAAATGCAGAACTTCGAGTATGTTCTAGCCGTCTCCAGCTACACTTCAATTCCGATTCCATGAAATCGAACTCATTCCAATGAAATTCATTAAAAACAGAAGTTTTTGAATGCATATATCTATAATCAATTACTAGCATGATCATTGATCATAAATTAATGAAGGTCAAAATGCACAACTTAATTGACTGAAGCGATTAATCGAAACATTATCGTACCTTTGACTTCTTTTAATATAAAGTAAAAAGGTCAGTTGTTGTTTATCGTCTTATTTCGTATGTGAATGCTCATTTTGTGAAACACGATCTGAAAAGAGTGTTTAAATCAAGGAGTAAAAGGCGGATTTCATACTCCTGGAATTCCTTGCTATCTTGGGGATCCGCTTTTCCCCTGTTTCCGGACAATTGTAACTAATGATGCAAAATAGTGGTAGCACAATTATAAACTTACCATGTTATAAGACATCAATGGCATACAACAAGAGATAGAATCAATTTGAACAACAAATATAACTATTTGTCTTAGACGGCCACCTAGTAACGCAAGACAATCATCAAAATTAACCACGTTAATACATAGTTTAGTAAGTGTCGAAGAGAAAAACGTGCTCAGTGATGAATCTTCCAGTGACAAAGGTAGATGATTATTGATGGACAATGACTCAATCGTCAAATGTTTGAGATTTTCAAAGAAACTCAAAATAACTGCGTGAACATTTTTGGTATAATTTTCGCGTTATATTCGAATTCTGTTTTCATTACCAATAATATTAAGATTCGTAATTTGTTTGCTGATATGCTGAAACTTAGAATCGTCTAAGGAAAGCAAAACACGTCGAATTTTAATACGCTTTTTATTTGAGTTTTCAAACAAAGATCGGCATATGTCAATTCATTACCTTTGAAGTAACGTGACACGATTTCTTCTTTGACATTGAAAATTCTAAGTTGAGTAAGATTAGGATATTCAGCAGCAAGAAGAATTCGTTCTATGGAAACTGATTCAGGAACGAGACAGTTTACACTACGATGAATTTGAGGTAATATTTCATTACAAAATCTATCAAGTTTTCGATTGGAAATTGAAGAAATATCACTAGTTGATGATATGGAAACGAAATTAAGAATATTTGTGACGATTTTATCTTGTGCTATAATATGAAGTCGTTGACTGTTGTCGATACCAAGTAGAGAGTAAAGAACGTCCCGATTATTGAGTTTATTCAAAATAATAAATATTATCTCATTCGGTAAATCCAAAAGATGCAGATCATATTGATTCATATTCAATCGTCATTCGGATACTTTTCTTCAGACAATATATATATATATATATGTTTATGTGTTGATTGTTCAATTGTAGTCTTTTCTCTGATTGACCAATAGAAGAATTCACCTCGTTGAACAGAATGAAATCCAACATTAATGCATGCATGAGCCCCCAAACAGACTAGACGAATACTATTTTCAGCTCTATCTTTCTAAATAGTATATGAGTAGCTCCGATTAATGGACACAGACTTAACCTACGGCGTAAAATATCTGCTAATTTTTCCGTCACTAAATGAAAACTGATTGAAATCAATGAACCTAATAGATAGAATTTGAACAATCTATTAGTAACTTTTCCTTCTCAAGAAAACTACACCCAGAGGTCAAGATTTGTGTCGACTTTTTTGAAAGAGAGAAAGCAAAACTCCGCTACTCCGAATTACGGTGAAATAGATCTGAATTATGGTTCTAGTATAGACAGTAGAATAGCTAGCATTCGCGCGGACGAGAAAAATACGGTCTTGCAAATCTCTAATATTGACATATTTGAGATCGATAAATTGCAGATCACTCCGACGCGCAACGAATATCTCTAAATCAATAATTCCTGATCTTTTATATAGATTTCTATAAAAATTAAAAATCTACAACAAAAACAAACGGACATTATTCTTTGGATTGCATTTTTAATTTCGTTCTTAATCGTTCGAGAATATCGCTCCATTTTTCAAGGCAAATATTACTTGCAGGCAATGCGCTGTGTCCGATTTCAAGAGACGATTTATAAAATGAAAGTGCTTTTAAACGATCGCCCATGTTATCATAGACATCACCAATGCAAATAGAAGAATAAGCAAAATTAGGATGATTTTCAGGAAGATTCTTTCGACAGATTTCCAATGCTCTTTCATGACATGAAAGTGCCGCAGGATATTCACCCGTCTGGGAATATGTCAAACCAATTTTATTGTACATCATGATTATATCGCAATGACGTAAAGGACAAATACTTTGATAAGTTGTCAATGCTGCTTTGTAATATAAAAGTGCTTGTGTATAGTTGCCTATTTGCTCATACACATCACCCTGATCAGTATATGAAATCGCTAAATGGATTTTATTTCTAGGCAAAATTCTTCGGTAGAGTTCATGTGCTTTTTGATAAAACGAAAGTGCTTTTAAATAATCGTTTTTTTGAAAATATACTGAGCCAATATTTCTATAACATACAGCTAACGCAGGATGATGAGGAGGAAGATTTGCTTCATTGATTTCTAATGCTTCTTCAAAATACGCAAGTGCAGTCGAATTTCGATTCAATTTTTCGTATAACGAACCAATATGATTATATACTGTTGCTATATCAGTAGAATTTGACTGTTGATCGTTTTCAAGCATTGAAATTGTTTTTTCTAAGAGTGATATTGCTTTTAAATAATCACCAGTTTTTTTGTAGACCAGCGCCATATCAATGTGACAATTAGCTAGATCAGAATTATTTGTTGATGGAATAGTTTTGTTAATTTCAAGTACTCTTTCATAGTACCACAGTGATTTTGAGTAGTTGCCTATTTGAGAATAGACTCTTGCGATATTTTTGTTCAAACCAATCAAAATCGGATCATGTAATGGAAGATTTTTCTCATACATTTCAAGTGCTTTTTCGTAGCGTAGAAGTGCTGCTGAATAATCGTTCATTGCTTCATAGACTGAACCAATCCTATGGTAACATTTGGCCACATCGATGTGTGCAGGCGAACGAATTTTTTCAAAGATGTCAAGTGCGAAATTGTACAATAATTTCGCTTCTGTATATTCTTCTCGGTGAAATTTAATTGAACCGTATTGATAATGTAGATATGCTTTTTCGTCTTCGTCGAATATCTCAGTTATCAATGTATCACATATAATTTGAGCTTTATCAACTTCACGTAGGTTTATCAAAAATTCACTTAATCGACGCCATCCTATACTATGAGGATTAGCTAATTCAAGAATACGTTCGTTTAAAACTCGAACTTGTGGATCGTTATTACTCGTTAATGTCAAGTCTACTTGCCAGAGACGACTATTACCTTTAAAAATTGATTCAAGTTGACCAATGCGAAACACCGGATTTAGCGAAAAAAGAAAATCTTCGTCTGTCGGATCGTAAATACTTTCGCGAATAGTTGCGTACGGAGTTGAGTCTAGAGAAGGATCTATGGTAATAGCAAATAGAACACCTATTAAATCAGGAGTGGCAAGAGCTTGACGAGCATAATTCATAGCGATATTCGCACATTTGCTTGCACATAAAAAATTATTAAACGATAACAAGTGATTGCGTGATCTCCTCAGTTGATCGAAGTCCTTTTGCGATATACCTTGACCACGATAGACGATGAAAACCTTTGAATTTTGATGAGCAATCTTTTGCTGCAAATGAAGTTTAAAAATGTACTGTTGCAGATCAAATATGAAGAAACCCATTTTAAGGAGTGTGACAACATCCATAGAACGCAGCGCTCGATTGAGCATAGAACTAACGAAAAATTGAGACGTATACCACCATGTGAGTGTGTAGTCGTGATATTCTCGTTCAAATTTATCGATATTTCTCAGTTCAGTAACGTTGTCAATCAGTTGTTTACGATAATAAGTTGAAAATTCTTGAATAGATTTTTCTGTGAACTCTATTGTCGATAATAATTCGTTTAATATTTGAGTAAACATAAACATTTGATTTGATTTATCAGGATTTTCTTCTGATGTTTCATCAGTCATTCCGATGAAAGTCATCGGAATTGTATTCCGATCACATTCATGAGCGGCATTTGCAAGGGCTTCATTTAGTGACGGAAAATCCTTGAAAAAATTTTGAATTTTCGGCCATTTAGGTATCCAGGCTTCATATTCTAATTTGTTGTCGCAGAAGATATAAATAGAACTAATCTGCGGTAAACCATGGATGAGAGATATTGTCGTTTGATTAAGAACTCCAGATAGAACTATGAATATTGTTTCATTTTCAATGCTTCGAATAAAATCAACACATGCGTTGACTGTGTCAAATTTATGTACCGAATTAACAATGCGTCGTAACGCTGTGATCATATGACAAGCATCGTCATTGCTCAAGTCATTCGTGCCAGTATCTAGCCATGCTATTGAGCAATTTTGAAATATGCGACTAGTCGGTGGTCCCGATGATTTTATAATCTCTTGCGAAGGTACAAATTGTGTGAATGCTGATGTTAATGGCGATTCATATTTTGAGTGTACAAATTGGTCTTCCTGTTTCCTGCTACCAGTAATATGACGAAGCTTCATTTTTAATTTATGCATAATTTAGGCGTATAGTAAGAAGGCAAGTAACCAAAATGAATTATCAGTGAAACTGGCCGCTTTTTTTCGTAAAAAAACTTCTGTTTACTCGCTGTCACGGCTCATCAACTAAACGGTTTCTTCCAATGTTATCACGGTAAACAAATTTATAATTACGAATCGAAAAAGAATCATCATCAAAAAGGGAAGTAGAAGCTTTTCTTTCTTCGATGCAGCGTTACAAGATAATTTAGTTGACCAGAACACGTTTAATATGTTTATCAAAATTCTTCTTATGTCTGTTTTAACATTCGATTAACATCGATGCTAAATGCATTAGTATATAGTAATATAAAAAAGAATGAAAGAAATCAACAATAACAAGACACGGTAAATGATGAAAACAAAAAGATAAAAACTAGACAATCGTAGCTCATATTATTTCTTATTTTGTTGCTTCTGTTTAACAGCCCAATTATGCAAACGAGCCATATTAACTTCAGTTGTTGTTATTTGATCCCTAGTTTTTCAAAAGTAAAAGAAAAATTATTAGAGAGGAAACAATGAGTCGAAATTTTTTTTTTCTGTTGGAAAGTCGTCCGGACCAATAAAAATTGAAAGATTAAAATCAGAATTTCAGTGCGATGTGATTCATGTGTCAAAACTTTCTTTATTGCATTTCTTACCGCAAAAAATCAATATCCTCATCAACTTTTTCCAGTGCACTCTGTGCCGATTTTTGATTGCCACGTAATAGTTCGTCGGCTTCATCCAATGTATATTCCAGCATAACATTAGCACCTAACCATAGGCAAACTTTATCTGTTGGCGGTATTATTGCTTTTCCATAAAGATTATGAGCTAGAAGAAAGTTCGTGTCCATGTCAGTACCGTTTTCACGATATTTGCGAAGTTGTTCAACCATATCTATTTCAGTAAGAATGTTTTTTGATAGAGTTCAAAAGTCTTGTTGTTTTCATCGTACCTAAGCAAATTTGAATATCGGGTAATTTTCCTCGTAAACGTTTTTTTTTTTGTAATAAATTCATTTCCATAAAGCGATATTTACTATTTAAATCATCAAGTCTAGAAAAAAGAATTGAATAAAGAATGATAATAAAATTCTTTTTACCTTTTAATAACTGTATCCGTTGAATCATTTTCAGGTTGTTGCATAAAACTATCAACATCGTCAACAAAAACAGCCTTGGGAATACCTAAATGTTCATTATCGCTGCCACCTGTTAAAGATGCCATAATAGAAAATCTTATCTAAAAAATTTATTTGATATGAACAAACACAAAAGCAGTGAGATTTATGCATATTGCACATTATTGTTCTTAAGCGAAGAAGAAAAAAGTCCAATTTTACAAAAAAAGGAAAAAATGTCACAAACAACGTTAAAAACAACATCATCGATTCTTCAAAGATGTGGCTGCCGAAAGCTAAAAAATAGACAAATGAATAAGCGGGAATTACGATCATAAGCTTCCGTTTACCGTATAATTATTCGTGCACGAAGGAACAATCGAACCAATGCAAAGACAAAAAATGGCCACAATAAAATAAAAGCAATCGCACGACGACGTAAACCAGCCAGCGGAAACCATCGCGATAGAGACTAGAAGATAATTATACAAAATATCGATCAAGATTTGGGTATTTTTCACTTACATTTTTCCCGGAAGAACAATGCAATTGCGTAGACAATTCTCTCTAAAGAAAGCAAAAAGAATGGTAAAATTCAAGGCGTCGTTTAATTTGTTCAAACCTGTTGAAGAAAATGTGATGAATTTTCTAATCGGTTGAGTCGTTCTAAAATATTATTAACATCTCGTTGGAGTTTTGTAAGTGCTGCTAGTATAGCGCGTTGCGTTTCTTTATTATAATTATTATTTGGATGTCGCCCATTACCGCCACCCGATGCTACAGATGAAGCTGAATAATGAGCGCCATCAGATAGATCAGTAAGACGATATGATGGATGTGCTGATGATCCATGAAGCTCATTGGAATGATTACCTTTGATAGTAAAACAGGGATCGTTCGAGATACAAGTCTTTCGTTTTGAAAGTCATACCTATTCTATTAGAACGCTGTACAGGAGGATTCGATCCATCTTGTCCGCCGTATTCATGCGGATGATATCTTGTTGTTTGTTCAACTGGAGTGCTTATTGTTGATGGTTCGTTAGTCTGAAAATAGTGCGTTTCTTTTATCGTTAAATAAGTGCAACTATTCTTACTTGAAGATCATCTTTTGATAGGTCAGGATTGGGTGAAAGTCGATCGGATGGATCTTGATAGAATTCTTCCGGATCTGAAGAGATTTTTCAAACGAAAATGAAATGAATAGAAATTTTTAATTTACCAGACGAAGAAATTGATGACGACGAGGAAGAAGAAGGAGATGAAGATGGTACTGGGCCATTTCCCGATGAAACTAATGCTCGCGTAGGACCATTGGAACGATTCACTGGATGTTCATTATGACTTTCTAAACATGGAAATTTTGTCTTTTTGTCGAAAATAATGTTTTCTTTTGGTTATTTTTTACTTTCACCGGTTCCATTAACAAGAGAACGAAATGCATGTTGTTTTTTCTTCTTAACATTTGTATGGTGTGATTTATTGTTTAATACTGATACTGGCCGATTTTCTTCTGTTCGATCGTCAACGAATTCATAGAATGGTCCAATGAGGTGAGTGAATTCTAATACTTCATTTGTTTGTGGCATTGTTTCAAGGATCTGGAAATGAAAATAAAATAAAATTTTGATTCTTTGTTTTTCTGAAAATTTACTTTTCGAATTTCATCAATATAAGCGGTCATAGCTGCTTCTTTACTCATCGACCGACATTTATCCCATGCATCCCTACATGAATCCATGATTGAAATGAATTCGAAAAACATTTTCGACCTACCATTTTGCTCGATTAATATAATTGAATACTGAGGGTCGTGGCTCGTTACACGGGCCTGCTGTGGCTTGTTTATAGAGACCATAGAATGTTAATTTCATTTCATTTGATGGTTGAAAAGTACCTAATAAAAAAGGAAAACCAATGGAACGAACTTCTTTTTTTTATTCATTTACCATCGTTAGGTAATCGTTGAATGGCTTTTACAGCTGCATTGAATTTTTCTCGTAGACTAGCTGTAGATGCCATACGGTTTCCAAAACAAAAATCGAATATATATTTAAATCTATAGATAGAAAACAACATATTTCGAGTTAAATTATTCGTACGAGATTTATAGATTCTGGTGATCGTTTGTAATTGATCATTTATCTAATACGCATAATCATTAAAGAGGTTTAGTAGACAAATAAACAATCAAATTACACTTCTATACTCTCAAAGACAACAACAATAGTACCGAGTGACATATTCTAGCCGAATAGGAATAAAATTAGAAAAATCATCCGAACAAAAACGACATCTATCGAACACATTTTCTAGGAGGTTAATACTTGATAATGGCTGTGTGTGTGTGTTTGTCATTTATATATATTATTTCATTTCTTTTGCTTTCGCGATTTAGTTTTTCTCCAAAAATGGTCAATCAATCATTTAGTAGTTCAAACAAATCTTATTCATCAACAGCAGATCAAAATAAGAAAATATTTCTCGGTGGTTTAAGTTATAAGTACGAATAGATTCTTATTTTCAGAATAAAAAACATCAAATATCTATTTTTGTTTTGTCTACTAGTACTACTGATGACACATTACGTGCATTCTGTTCACGTTTCGGTAAAATGACCGATTGCGTGGTAATGCGAACGCCTGAAGGAAAATCGCGAGGTTTTGGTTTTGTTACTTATGAAGGTAAAATTTTAATTCGACAAAAAAAAACGTTTCACAACGAAAGAATATCTTAGATACATCAGCTGTGGAAGATTTTATGCGTGCTAGACCACATACAATTGACAATCGTCTCATAGATACGAAACGAGCTAGTAAAGTCACATGATTTTAACTCTTATTTTTCTTTCAACTGAATACATGATCAATTTTCTTTTAGTGCCACGCGAAGATCAAAATAGTGCAGAATCGCATTTAACAGTCAAAAAACTGTTTGTTGCTGGTTTACGTGATGGAATTGATGAGCCATGTCTTCGACAATATTTCACTCGCTTCGGTAATATTACCGAAGTACTCGTGATGAACGATCGTGATGGTATGTTGAACAAATTTTAAAATAAGCAAAAACAGCCATGATCATTATTTAGGTAAACCTCGTGGTTTCGCTTTTGTTACATTCGATGATTATGATGCTGTCGATAAAGTTATTCTTGAAAAACCACATATAGTGAATGGACGAAATTTAGATGTTAAAAAAGCTGTACCGAAAGACAAAATACAAGATAATTCAGGCTCAACTGGAGGGCAGCCATCAAGAAACTATTCCGGCTCTAACCAAAGAAATAATTTTGGATCCATCCGAGATAATTTCGATGCTAATAGTTCCGGTTGGGATAGTCAACCGCAAGTACAGTCCTACGGTCAACAAGGATATAATAATTCAAATGAATCAGGTTTCAATCCATCGAATGCAAGTGGTTTTTCTTCAGCCTATGATTCAGCGCGACCACAACAACCACTGATGAATTATAATCATAACAATAATTCTTCTATTCCAAATATGCCTTATAATAGTGGAAATCAATTACCGAATTCGAACTATATGCCATCGAACTATGCATCAAATCAACCACAAGGTTACGGTACAAATTCAAATGGTTTCAATAGTATGAATAATCCATTTAATTTACCTCCTCAGCAAAACAACAATAACAGTAGCATTAGTGGTTATAACAACAATCCTTCATATCCATCTGATAATATAAATTCATATGACAATTCTACACAGAATTATAATTATAACGATATGCAACCACAACAACAAACACGTGGCGGTGGTCCTATGCATAACAAACGAGGGTTAGTTTTTGTTTTTTGAAAAACAAAAAAATACATTCGATTGTTAGAAAATGCAGATGTGGAACCTTCAGCACTGGTTAGGTGCGACTGTTATCTTGGTTGTGACTGTTTGCTGAGGGTTCCATACCTACATTTTCGATCAGTTGCGAGAATCCCTTAAACTGTTTGCTTTTTCTTAATATAGTCGCGGAGGGAATTTCGGCGGAAATAATAATTCATCCAATTATGGTAATCGTTCAGCGCCGTATTCGACACGTGGTGGTCGAGGCGGTGGCCGCGGTCGTGGCCAATAAACTACAAGTGTGGTATGTGTTTAAAGAGAACTCTTAAAAAACAGACATTGACATTGAGACAACATGCGTGCGTGTGTGTTTAACAAAGAGTAAAAGCATTTTTCTTTCCATGTTTTTTGTTGTTGTAGTCTTCAAATACTCATCCTTGCTAATTTTAACTAAGAAGAAAAACATTATTTCGCTCAATTAAATATGCGACAAAATAATCAGTTCTATATATTTTTTGCACACCTATCTAACGATAAACTATTAGAACTAAGACAATATCCTATAACGACGTAGAATAAAGTCTTGATTGGGTAATGTTTTTGCTTTTTTGCCAAATATTATTATTTATGCCTTCGTCTTTTTTTTGTTATGTTTCACATCAGTTGTGTAAGTTACCATGTCTTTGTCTTTTAACCTGTTTTTGCTTAAATACACGTATGAATTTAATATATTGCAATTATTTAAGTGTTGGAAGTAAAAGAATAATAAGTTAAGTAAAGTTTCTACAACAACAATTAGATAAGTATAAGCACGTGTCGAAATATCCGAGAAGACTTTTTCAATCGTAGCTGATGGAAAGTCGAGAATTAGAATAATGGATTCGTTCGATGGTCTCTATCGAATAGACTGGCATGAACAATGTAAAAATTTCGATTATTTCATTGAGTTCGGATTCATAAATAATGGTATCAGTATGTAATTTAATTGGAATTTTTTTCCTATGTGTTTATTTCTAATCGGTTATCTATATATTTTATTTTTCTATTAGCGAAAAAGTTCATCAGTGCCTCCTCGTGAAATAACGCGGTTGGGCTATTAGATAGTCTAGCATCCACATAGAATTATTATATTACAAAGCGCACAGGCGAATACAAGGTACATGCAAAACATCTACTAATGGGTTATTGTTGAATATAATTACATATATAAACAGAGTAAGCAATTTGGTTATAGGTAAGTGTCCTTAGTTTCAATAGGAGCAGACAGATAAAAAGAAGATTAAGTAAATATATTCGTAAGAGTAATTTCGGGTGATTTCATTGAACTAATTTTAACTTTATTTTATCTATTTAGAATGGAAACAATATGTCAAATAAAGTGCAAATAGTCATTGTTTTTTTTTGTGTAAATGTCTGATAATGAAAAAAAATATTTTTTTTTATGTGATTTTTATTGTAATTTTGTTTCTATGCATTTATTTTTTTTCTTTTAGATTTAAAATAATACAAACGTAACTGGTGAAAACTTATTGAATATAAAGGTAAGAATAGTTTTTATGAATGAAGGATTCCACTTCACACGGCTGGCTACTGAATTTAAATTGCGTAAATTTTTTTTTGTCAACTCTATCTAACTAATGCACTTATAAGGCCTGGAATGGTTGTATCGATGTCGGGAGAGACACTCGTCTCTTTTTCTCTTCGCTCCACAGATGAGATCGATCAACATGCAGGCTATGAATTCATTATCTTCTGTATTCCTGCTGTTATACTCATTAATTCTCTAAAGTTTTGCTATGTCTTCAATAATTAATGATATTGAATATCGATTTGTCCCTTAATGGTCTTGCGATCGTCATTAGGGCTTTCTTTCTCATTCTTATGTATCCATTTTTCTTTTATTCTCATCATATTTCTCTTCGCAAAATTCCAATGATTAAATTCATTTAGACAAACCTATGTCAACAGTCATATTAACCGGTCTTGATAGTCGTACAAACAGTGATATTGCTGAAAATTATTGTCAAAAATATGGTCGAATACTTAATTGTTATTTAAAATCCAATCAATGTACAGTAACATTTGCGGATAAACACGATGCCGAAGAGTTCATTCGTTCGTCGCCACATCGTATAGATTCCAGTGGTTATGTTGATGCGACATGGAAAAAAACTTTAAATCGAACTTCTTCTTCTCATCAACAACAACGTTCAGATAATAACAATTGCCGGTTAACAGCTCACGGTACTCGTGAACAATTAGAAGAAAAGAATCTTATTGAATATTTTTCACGTTTCGGACACATACGCATGTGTTTGCCGAATGCAACGCAAACTGCTGCGACGATCACATTCGATGATCGACTAGGTTACGAACGAGCCCTAAAAGAATCTCGACATTTTCTTAACGGCCGTTCATTAATCGTCGAACCTTATAAATCAACCGATGAATTCGAATCAAATAAACGTATGAAATTGTCGGATTCAAACCAATCAACATCATCGAATGTTATATCTAAATTAGAATATGAAAAAGATCAACTAATCAATGAACAGTCACGTATTGAAAATCAATATCAAGAACGTATAAAATTCTATGAATATGAAAATTTTCAATTAAATGAATATTTGAAAAAACAACAGAATGATTTTACTCATCAAGTTGTACAGTATCAATATTTATTGAAGCAAAGTTTAGATGAAATATTAAATAAAGATCAACAAATTGAACAATTAAAAAAAGAAAATAAAGATATCGAGTAAAACTAGCGACATTTTGTTTTCAAAGTTTGTATTAACAATTATCTTTCGCTCGTAGTGATCTTCTTCGTCAGAGTGTACATGATAATGAACAGCAGCAAATTCAATTAAAAAAACGTGAAGATGTGCATAGTCAAACCAAGCAAAAATATGAAGAAGTCTACAAAGCCTATATTAAATTAAAAGATAATTGGTGAGAATTTTATTACAAATAAAAGCTTTTATAGAAAATTATTTTTTTAGTGGTGCTCAACAAATTATAGATACTCCAATTACAAGTTCGACTATTAATGTTCATAGGCCAAAATCAAGTATTGATAATGTCAGAAAAAAGTAAATAACTTTTTCACAGCCAGGCTTTTTTCTCTCAAAAAGAAAGCATTTCACACAAATCGGAAAATAATGTTATTACGCTTTCAGCTGTTCATCCTATCCTAGAGCACTAAATCAACATTAATCGATGATATATAAGTTATTCTATGGAGCGTGTCGAAATAAGAAATACATTTCCAGATGATAAACAGCTTTTCATCATTAACTAATGTCATTGATTATAAACATAACCTATAAATATGCGTTTCTTTCTTTCTGCTTTCCCCTCGATGCTTGATACGTCAAGAAATAATTCATGCTAGAATGGCTTCGCTCAGCATTTGTTAGGGCCATTTTTATCGTATTCTCTATCACAGATCCTACTGATATGTTGCCATATAACATTTGCAACAAATAAACGCCTTCGACAGATATATCTATTCAATAGGCTCGTTAAAGGAATACGATGTTTCCCTGCGACTGCTAACTCCTTTAGATTTCCTTCTCAGTAGTTGTACAATCGAATAGATTAATAAAATGTTTTTCGTTCATTTCAGACTTTAAATTCAAATACAATCAAACATTCAATTGTTGTTCCATGTTTTGAATATTTTTTTGGTGCTTTATTATTCTTTTTTTAAATCAAAATATTTATATCATAAGAAAGCATCGAATATCCATTGTTACTTATTTTTTGTGAATAGATCACCTATATTTTGTTTATATAAGTAAATTTATTGCTTTCAGATGTCTTCAACTACATCATTAAAATGTCAACTTATTGTACGTAATCTATCGAAACGTACAACTACAAAACAATTACAGCAATACGCATCACGTTACGGTTCGGTTCTTGATTGTTACTTAACTGACACGGACGGCGAAGGTTTTATTGAATTTAATGATCGTATGAGTGTCGATGTTTTTATGGATAAACGGCCACATTCCATCGATGAAAACGAGCTACAATTTCAACGTTGTTTGCCGCCAACAGAATTGCAAAAGCCAGTTAAACGTATTTTTATTCGTGGCACTGTGCAACAATTAACAGATAGTCGCCTAGCAAATTATTTTGATAAATACGGTAAACTTTTATCTTGTACAATACCGAAAGGAAAACGTAATAATACATTTACACATTTTGGCTATGCTTTTGTCGCATTCGACGATGAAGATATTGTCGATAGAATTATTCAAGATAAACCACATTTCATGGATGGATTAGAACTGGAAATACAAAAAGCCGAAGATTTAACGCGTAGTCGCCGAGCATCATTATCGCGATCGCCAAGTTCGCGTTCATCTCGTTCACCAATACGTTCAATTCCAATGATGAATAATAACAATAAACGTCCTCGACGTGATTCACCTTCACCACCGCCACTACCACCACCGTCATTACCCTTAAAACGTCCTATTCGTAATCCAGATGAACTAACAATACGACAATTAGAAGAAGAAAATCGCCGTTTACATGAACACCTCATGCTCGCCAAACGCCATTACGATGAAGACATGTGGAAAGTAAGACGAGAGCTGGAAGATGAACGTCGACGTTATGATCAATTAAAACTCGAATACGATTATGCACGTCGGGATTTAGCACATGTAACAGCGGAATTTCAACAGAAAACATCAGCAAGACATTTGAATTCGAATCCAAAACGTGATCTATCATCAAGACGCTAGATTGAAATGCAAACAGTAAGCAAATCAATAATATAAGTTTATTAGTTTTTTTCACTCTTCTGTATCTTTCAGTATCACTGAGCGAATTATTATCCAATGAACTACTATATCTATACTAAGATTTATACCTAAATACCTTTCCGAAAGAAAAAAAAAACAGAAAGAAAATTTATCTTACTTGAATTATACCTATAAATACGTACGTTCGCGATACATTCCATATGGTACTCGATATGACAAGTCGATTAGGCATCCAAACACAAATTTCGTTCTTGCTGGTCTTCTATTAGTATACATCCGGTAGAGTTTAAAGATACGAAAGCTCCGAAAAAACAACAATACCTAGACGAACTTAAAAGGTCTTCTTTTATTTTGAATATTATTCTCGGATTATTTTAGGTACGTATTCATCGACAAACATATGAACATTATTCAGTTTTCTATTCGTGTTGTCAATTGCTTATTAGCCGAGAACGTGAATAAACATTATTATTCGTGGCTTTCTTTTCGATTGTATATAAATATATATAATACTGAAAAGTGATCTTCAGTTTTTTCTTTTGGATTAAACATCATACCGGGCAAACGCTTTTGTATGAAATCGATCTAGACAATCACGTGGAAAAGTTTGTCTTGAATTCATATGAGTTTTTACAATTAAATTGGTCCAGTACTACAGTTGTTCACTATCGATACTCGTCTTGCATGTCGTTCAATCACTACTGTATCGTTTCTTCGATGAAATAGTACTTTTCAACTACGCCATGAATTGTATCCGGAGAAGTTACATTTGGATATTGAGTTTCTAACAGGGGCAACGCAATGTTCGATTTTTATTTCTTACTTGATTTTAATAATCACTATGATCCTTGTCTAGAAAAGATTCTCTATCTTCGAAAACAAAGGACTAATTTTTTTAAAATTTATTTTGAGCCTAAAGATTAATATGATTGCGTGAGCAAAAAGAAATCCATGTATACTAAATAAACTGGCTTTGTGGCGAAGCTTTGCTTCATTGATTCGCATCAATCTAAATTACATATACAAGGCAAAAAAGTCAGAAATAAGAAAAGGTAGTAAACTAGTTGCACACCTACAAACAAACCAAACTCATCTAATTCAGTATAACGCAATAGGCATGTGCATTTGGGTTGCAGCATCATCAGACTAATAATAATATTGGGTTTTGGTATGAACGAAGAGCAAACTCACACCCATACGGCCACACGCCCACAAAACAGATCATAGTGGTCTGCTGTCACAATGGCATCTATTAATGTTTGTTACCATAATTTTTCCTATCTCAAATTAATCAATCTATTTTTCTTAATGATAGCATAAATATAGAAATGTTAGATCATATATAGCGAAAAATAGAGTGATTAAAATAATAAAATCGTTAAAACAAAACCTTCTAATCGTCGATGTTGACCGACTGTTTCGCACACTGCATTATTTCCGTGCCAATCGGTCCAATCAATTTGCTCTAAATGGCAGCGATAATATACTTTACGGCCAATATTTGATCCAATATTAATCTGTAATGCTTCAAGCCTCAGACTTCTTCCTGTAGTACCAGAAATGTCGTTTGTGTGAACGTAATTTTGCCAGCCAATCTTTTGAACATGCGATCGATATGTTATTGATGATGTGTAGGAATTTGAATTTATACGATACGCTTCAAGTCTTGATTTTATTTCTTTAGTTCCAACGACTTGTCCCAACCTATATTTTGAATATGTGCATCCATTGTTATTCTATAGGTTGGTAGTCCATGCAGTTTGTTCGATACTTGATCGGGAAATGATTTACTAAACGTATCACCGCTCGTAATATTATATGTGGATAATAAATCAGTTGCATTAGATCGATGACCGTCTTTTATCATATCTTGATGAATACGCCATAAAAGTTTTGGTTCAATTGATTTAAGAATATTGCCATCAAAATCGCGTATTAGAAATGTCGTATCAACATTTGCAGCAATAGCTGATAGTAATAGAAAGTAAAATATAATATTGCTATATCGCATAACGATCATTGTGTACCCAAACTTTACGAAATTTGCTTAGTTTTACTTCAAGCTAAGTAGAAAAAGCGGTCAATAAGAAAGTATTTTCTGTCTTATATATACGTATTAGACAACAACATTGAAATTTGCCGACTTATGCAGAGGAGATAAGCATCTTATCATACACTTGAGACGATTGAAATTTATTAAAACATCATATATTTTCTTTATCTTTGGTGAAATTACTTCAATGATTCGGAGAAACTGTGGTGATCTAGGGTGCCGGTTATGAAGCTAGATTGTTGTGGGCGTGCCTGCTGATGTTGATATGGCTGTGAGTGTGGGCGAGGGTGCATTCAAGACAATATTGCTTATGGGTGTTCTTTCGGATCTTGGCACGGGCATATAGGTTTTAAGCGTAGATGAGAAAATGAGCGTTCATCCCAAAGAAGCACCAGGCGGTTAGAAAAAGAACTAATTATACAGTAGTGTGAAACTTCCATTTTATAGATCTTCATTGAAATTTCAGGAAAACTGTGTTTTTTAGTTTCTTGTAGATTTCAAAAGCTAGGTAACCGAAGCATATTTCATTTTCGTCGATTCCAACTCCAGGGAATAAATTCGTCAGCGAAAACTATTAGATCAAATGTGACACAATCTAGCAGTGACATTTTATTCTAGCTATTTAGTTTTTTAGAAGAGGGATTGATACGTCTCGGAGTTGGTAGCCATCTTCAAAGTATGAGCGTGTGTATGAAATGTGAGTTGTATTTATTTATCGATCAGACAATACAGTTAACGGACTTGGCTTCCAATTAATATGTTAATCAATCGATTTCCTAACTCTGTTGGACAGAAACAGCATGATTTCAAAGAGAAGCGCATCAGCAGTTTTTTCCTCACGAACAAACAATATGCATTCATCATAGCAAACTGCGAACGATACGATGAGCGTGTTTTCATCAGTTCGGAATCGCAGGTCGGTCCAGTTATTTGTTTTTAAATATTTGAAAAATTGCTAAATGACGCCCTGCTTCAAAAACACATATATCTTCCTTTCAGCTATATGCTTGTCTATCGTTAGTACCTATGATTAATTCAAACTCATATCCCTAATATTGACTCAAAATCTATCGACAACTTTTTTAACAAAAAGCAAAATGTTTCGTTCTCATTTTACATTTGATAACAACAATCAACGTAAACTTAAACATTATTTCCATGTCTGTTGAGAAAAATTTCTTAACAAAGATGAACTGCCATTGAAAAACATGATGAGTTTTCATCAATTGATTTTTATGAGCCGAAAAAATCAATTCGATCATATACTACAAAATACCAAAAACGAAGTATAATCACTATTCATTCTTTTATTGATTAGGATATCATTTTGAGATTAAAGATTAATATGATTGCGTGAGCAAATCTTGGTATATTTTTTCTCCTTGCGAAAAATAACATTGGAAGAAAAAAACACGCATGATAAAAAAATCCGTGTGTACTAAATAAGCTTTGTTTGTGACGAAAATATATGCTTCATTGATTCACATCAATATAAATCACATGTACGAGGCAAAAAATAGGTATTAAACTAGTTGCAAACCTGCCAAACAAAACAAAATCGTCAAGCTCAGCAGGTATGCACATCTGAGTTGCAGCATCGTCAGATTAATAATTTGCAAAGAGAATTTTTATTCTCATGAAATGACACAGAAATATTAATGTTCACCACAAAAATCTATTTTCTTGATTTTTTGTTGCTTACAGGTTACAAACTGTAAAAATCGAAATCGATTAGTCAGAATAATATTCATGGCAAACAGCAGAAATTCCGCGCAACGTGTTGTATGGGTATGGAACTCGAGTCCTGATCCTTGGACCGAATCCACGGCAAGTCAGTGGACTCCGTACTCCGACGCAGAGAGTCTTATTATTGAAGAAGCATTTTCGGCTAAGAAATCAATTGTAACATTGGATGACTATTATATCGATCTTGAAAATGAACTTCAAATTTCAACTACTGATATAGCCAAACAGAGGCCAATTCAAAGAATCATACAAAATAATGAAGAGAGACGTTATCGAGAAGAACGCTTTCTATCTGACCCTATTGCTCCGAAGCGTCTTACCGGTCCTGAATACGAGTCGATTTCACCTTTTATAGTGGAAGCGAGAAGAATTTTGAATCTTAAACCAGAACATTTTCCTTCAAGCGACACGCCGAGCATTCCGATGATTGTTGAAAAAGCTGCTGCTGGCATTATTGAAGAAGGCCGGAGTATAGGGATGCCGTTGGAAGCAGAGAAATTGGCTGAAATCTTGTTGGAGAAAAAAAACAAGGGAATAAAAGAAATCTGGGCATGTTGTGCTTATTTGTATTCTATGGAAAGTTTTCTGTACAAAAAATTGAATGCAATTATGAGACAAATAGGCAGTCACAATTATGAACAAGTTTGGCGAGAGAAAGTTCTTACATTGGGACCATTTTGCTTACTTCTTTGGGATGGTCCATTCGGTGTGACAGTCGAAACGAACAAAACGCTTTATCGACCTGCCAAGTTGACGAGTGAACAACTCGAAACGTATAGAAATCTGGCTGAAAATCCCAACGAAAGACGTTCATTTCAAGCGTTCACTTCGTGCACTCGGAATCGAAGTGTAGCAGAATCCTTTCCGGGCACAAACGCTTTATTCATTATCAATTTACTGTCAGCATTTTCAGTCGATCTACAGCCTGTCTCGTTATATCCAGCAGAAGAAGAAGAACTTATTAGTCCGGGCGTTTGGTTCGCCGTCGAAAGTGTCAGAGTCGAAAGAGGAAAGAATAAATTTCTGATCAACTTGAAATTAGACGACAATCCGCCCAGTAAATATAACTCTTTTTTTAAATTCTATTGAAATTCAAGCGTCCATTTTTGAATAACAACTAGTCGACGACCCCCTATGCAAAAACGATCAGATATTTGAATATGATCCTTATCTCGTATTCTGCATCACAATTACACTGAATGAGGTCCCGAAAGCATATCTATAAGACTTAGAGAATCGGATTGGTTAGCAGCAGCAACAGCTTTAGTTTAAATCGGGTACAGCCTTGAAAGTGATTTTGCCTATTTGATAGTACACTCAGGCGCTGCTAATTCTCCATTCACACTTGGATCTCTCGAATAAGATCGAATTCATTTTCGTTTATCATTTCTAGGCAACAACGAAGCCACTGCTGCAGAAAATGTCATAGCAGATTACAATGGCAATTGCTCACTTTCCATCACTGATTTTCTTCCAGTAAACTAGAAGCAACTTAAAATGAACGCCCATCGTTTTTTTGAATTCGCCGTTGATGACAATAATTCAGAAATAGCGTGACTGAAGGCGATAGAAAGACTATTGGATTGTCATGAATCTTTATTATGGATTTTTGAATTTATTATTCTCATTATTGATTATTCAAAAATAATTAAAATCATTACAAATTAAAAAACGATTCGCTTCCAGCGGCATCTTCATGGAATATTTGAATCTCTTATTATTTATGTTGATTCATAAATGATGCATTTCAAGCGAACTCAAAATTTATTTGATTTAACACAAGGATGGGCGAAATTATTGAAGTAGCTGTTCGTCATAATTATTCATGAACCATGACAATCAAAATCATGGTAAAAATTATCACATTTTCGAAAAACATCCAGAGTAGGTCTTTTGAATTGGCTAATCGTCTTAGTTCTTCATGAATAATGTGGATGAGTACGAAAAGAAACAAAACTTGATTGCACGAGCATGTTGATCGAATTTTTGAATTTGTTATTCATGCGGACGAATCATGAACCATACGATCAGGAAATGTAGCGAACTGATTAGATTTTACCAGTGTCTCGATGAAATTTTTGAATTTACCTTTTTTGATAACGGTTCATCAATAATATGAATGGAGGAAACGGTAAAAACCGTTGAGTTTTATCAAGTTAATGATTGAATTTTGGAGTTTGCTGCTAATGATAACTATTCGGAAATGTTGAGAATGTAGATAGTTGAGAAATTATTGGATTTTGCAAAACCTGCTGATCGTATTTTGAAATGAGTTGCTCGTCGTAATTATTCAAGAATGAAGTCAACGAAGATCGTCGAAGAATTATTTGATGCTGGCAAAAAATTCAAAGAAATTTTTGAATCTGTTGTTTATGATAATTATTCATAAATAGTGGGAATACAGATCACAGAGTAATCAATGAATTTTATTAATATAATAATGCATTTTTCGAAGCGTTGCTTTTTAGGATTTGGTCGCGAATGACGTCAAAGAAAAGAATTGAAGATTTTTTGGAGTATAGAAAATAGTGAGGTGGATTTGTGAATCAGTTTTTGATGATGAATATTCATGAACAATATGAATAAGGATCTTTGACCATTTGTCGAATTTTATATACAGATTAGGTGAATTTTTGAATAGGTTGGTCATGGTAATCCTTCAGGTATAATGTGAAGGACGAACATGGATGAGTCCTATGACTTTGTAATCGTCCAGATTGATTTTTTGAATGGATTATTGATGACTATGACTTGTTCATTTTTTACGGTTCTAGAGATCATGTTGAAATTTCAATTATTTTTATCCAATATTTCTGAGTTTCCTGAATAAAATCATAAAATAGCTTGTTCCTACATGTCAAATGTCCAAGTCTATCAGGTTGAACTAAGAAGGAACTGAACTTTGTGTTGAAGAAGAATGGTTACTCTCGCAATGCAAGCATTTATTTTTCTGCCATGCATTTGAAAGAACATTTTTCTATATTTGTAACTGTTTTATTGTTATCTCTGGCAAATATTTTCCCGTATTTAACAATATTTCAATTAAACTAATAAGCCCAAACCTTTGCACATCTCGATATTATGAGTTGAATAGTTTAGAGATTTAATTTGCAAAAGATCGGCGATCGATAATTTCCTCTTTAGTTATAATACAATAAATATGATTTATTAGAAAAATAGGTGAATCGATTTTAAGCAGATTATTTACAATTTCAATGAAACTGACCGTTTGAGCCATCGTGTAAAAGTCTTAAATAGACTCCATTCGTCCAACCGAACCCATCTTGTAGCGGATAGTCTCCACCTCCACATTGTACATTGTCGACTACATTGTATTTTTCAGTCATTTTCCCTGTCGCTTTAAATACCCGATCATTCAAAGCCAACCACCGCTGTTTTACTTCAGCTGCCAATTTATTGAATCCGTAGTTCTTCAAAGCTTGGCAGCCGACCCATTGCAAAGGAGCCCATCCGTTTGGCCAATCCCATTGCTCGCCAGTTGCTTCTAGACTCGTGACTAGACCACCAGTACGAAGAAAACTTTTGCCAAGATGTTCGTGAACATGTGCTGCTTGTTCAGGAGTAGCCAATTTAAAATAGAGTGGATAAACACCAGCTAATGTAATAGCAGACGTCGATCGATTACGTTTCCAATCATAATCCATAAAAAATTGATTCGCATCATTCCAGTGAAACTTTCGAATAGCATTTCTTCTATTTTGAGCAAATAATTTAAACTTTTTACTTGACTCAACATCACCTTGTTCATTGTACATCTTTGCAAGTAAATTTTCCAGAGAGTAAAGAAGGCAATTGAGATCAACTGGAATGATGTCAGCTGCATGATTTGTCTCCGCGCATTTACTATCAAGAAGCCAACGTGATGAAAAATCCCAACCGGATTCACAAGCTGTACGATTGTGCTGATAAAATTCTTCAGCTGAAATGCCATGCTGTAGAGCTTTTCGGCGTTGATCTTCCTCCTTCGGATATGATTCTGGCCGGGGAGTCGTCGATGGATCCCAATATCGATTCAGAATTATTCCACCAGGCAAACGTACAACATGCTAAAAATATTATAAACGATTAGACAAACATATGTTCCAGTGACGGATCTAGGATTTTTAGATACGTTGTATCTTAGCTTCAGAGCATGGGTTCCAGTTAAAACTCATGGAGGGTGATATTGGGCTCATAATAGGGGATTTCATGGAAAAAAAATTTGATTGATGCTTGCGAAAAAAAATCATTTTTAAAACCGCCACCTACCCAAAACTTTTTTGTCTTGACCCCTATTACAATTTTTAGAACTTATTCGTAATCTATATTAAATTTCATCGACAGATTTCAATTTTCATTAAAAAATATACATCTCATCGAAAGTTATAACGATTTGAATTTTTGTGCCATGTTTTGGGAAATGTAAAAAATATTCAGAACGTTATAACTTTCGATGAGATGCAAAGTTTTTGATGCAAGTTGAAATCTGTCGATGAAATTTAATATAGATTACGAATAAATTAACAAAATTGTAATATGAGTCAAGACAAAAAGATTTTGGGGAGTGGTGGTTTTAAAAATTATTTTTTTTTCGCAAGCATCAATCAATTTGTTTTCCATGAAATCCCCTATTATGAGCCCAATATCACCCTCCATGAGTTTCAACTGGGACCCATGCTCTGAAACTAAGATACAACGTATCTAAAAATCCTAGATCCGCCACTGATACGTTCTCTTTATCTATAGTTTAATTATCTTACACGTTTAACTGGTTGTTCATCAGTCAAATTATCACTGTCAGTCATCCACCATTCGTATTCTTTACGTAGTTGAGGTAAGTATCGTTGTTTGACATTCTCTGTATTGGCCAACAGTTGAACCATCTGTGCAAAAAATGGTGGTTGAGATCGACTTAAAAAATACGTACGATTTGCACTTGGTATAAAACCCAATAGATCAATCATATACGCAAAATTGTCAATCATTGATTTAATCATATCGATTCGATCGGGTACAACCATTAAACCTAACATAGTAAAATACGAATCCCAATAGAACATTTCTCGATGTCTACCACTGGGAACGATATAAGGAAATGGAAGAGGAATTGTTGAACTACCGTCAACGGACGTATCAGCTGGTCGACAAAGAATATTCCACAGCCTATTTATGTGATCTTTCGGCGCTATCGTAGGATCACTAGTATAAGTCAAATTCGGAAATGCTTGAAGATGAAAATGTTCCTTGACAAATTTAGTAAGATCGAAGTTCGGTAAGTGTTTTTCATGTTCGTAAAGAGCGACTACTTCTGATGGTGAAACATCTGGAACGGAATCAGTAAATGTTTCCCCTTCGGAATACACATGAGCAAGTTGAATGTCGAAATAAAGTTGGCCGTATAAAATATCAGGTGACGGTGAAATATTTTTCTTTGACATCATAATTGAAATCTAGAGTTAACCATTTTTAAGATGAATCATCTTAGTTGTTATACTCTTCCATCGGATCGCAAAAGAAGAACCGTTTACTATATGGATCAGAATGATGTAAAGAAAAAAAAACATGCAGAATGAGAACAACTAGAATTAACCGTCTACTAAGAAAAGACATCAACAGTAACTAATTATCCATAAGATGCATTGTTATGCTAGAAGAAATATACTGGAGTATCTCTGACAATCTAATACAGCTATCGATTGCTTCCATTCACACTCAGAATCACTCAAACATCAAACGAATATATCCCATGTGAAATACATCATACGCTTTTATTCCACAGGCATTGAGTGCAATTTTTTTCTTCATCGCATATGCCGTTTTATGCGTTCTTAACTATCACGTTAGTTTTTTTTGATATTTTTCTGTTCTGCTCTCTCTCTCTCTTAATAAGTAAATCCTCTCGTCATTCTTTTTCTTTCGCTCGCAGTTTTTTAGTCTCACTCTTGAACTATGCGTTTGTGTCATTGCAAGAGAGTTCGAATTTGATCTACTTGAGTTTCGCTGGAAGTCACGTGTATGTACACGTGACAAAGCTCGTTGATGCATCATCTCCATTAACCACTACAATTTTAGGTCAATCGAAGACTAATTGAATAATGAAATCGATAGTTTGATTCTCTTGAATTTCACAAAAGAAATAATTTACAATTTTTTATATCATATTTATTTCAACAAATATTATGTCATGATGGTGTCCCCTAATAATGTGCGTAAGTCACGAATTTTTTTCTGAATGAATGGGCTCGCTACATGTTCAAATTTCTGTTGCCATTCGCAATTGCGCCAAAAATCAAATCGAAGTTGGCCTACACAACTAGTAGCCCCACATCTGCATTGAACACCTGCCATTAGACTGCGTTCGGTTTCGAAGATGCCATAGTGAATAGTTAATTCTTCGCCAACGTGGATATCACGTCGAGCTTTGAGCGTCCAGCTATCATTCGATCCGTCAAAATCACAATTCGGCTCGCATGAATGATTGAATAACGCACATTCATCCGTAATTTCTTGCGTAAGAAGATGACGCGGAGCTTCGAAAACATCGTCGTCGATCATGAGCGAATAATTTCGAATGAATTCTGATACTTCTGGATAGCTTTCCATTATTTGAAGAAGTTGTTCTCGAGTAAATTTAAATCGCGGATCATCTTCCGGATAATAACTACAAGTCGTTGGATCACACTCATAAATTTTCTCACTTCGAGAAATAGGTTCAAGTGCCACTATACCACGTTGTTGAAATCCGTATTTTTTCGAAAGATCGCATATTTCAGCCTTTTTAAACAATGGCATTCAGAGCACAAAAAACACAAGAATGCGCAGTGATAATACTAATGTATTCCGAATGACTGCTACACAGGTATCTATATAGACGAATGAAAGAAAGTTGCTATCATAATAAATTACGAAACATAAAAATGACGTCATTTTATACGACTAATATATTGTACAGTGGGAGACGGAATCTTTCTCAGCTGACGTAGACGCTTTATTTTCTCTATTATTCATTGATTGGTCATCAGCTCTTAAAATAAGTTTCCAATTAGAATCAATCATTTTCATATTCGAAGAGGACTGACTGACCATAAATGATAACAGAGAAAGAGTCGTTGGTCATAACGTGAAATCATCATAGGAGTTCAATCAACTTATTCTATAACGACGATGTGAAATATTTTTATGGAATACTATATTTTCTATTGATTCTTTTCAGATAAATTTACCAAATGTTTCGATACTTTCCATCGAGCACTTTAAAACATAGAATTCAAACAAAAATTCAACACATTACGATTAATCATCAACCATTTTCTACCGATAGGAAGACGACAACGAGCCACAGTATACGTCAATTTGTTAAAAACATTGGATATCTACTTGGTGCAGGTGTCACTGTTTCGTTGGTCTATGCCGCATATGAATCGATGATACGAGTACCGATCTGTCCGAATTTTAATCGAAAACAAGATATTAATATAACTAATGTTCTATCATGCACTGCCCTAGTGCAAAATACGACTAAACAATGTAAAGGACAAATTTCTATGAAGAAAATCGGTGCAATTACCGGCGTCAATTATAAACTTGTTCAAGCAAAATCAGAAAATTCAAACGTCTCATCTCGCGTTCTTGTAAACGATGAAGAAATTTCTCAAAAGAATTTGTTTGACGTCGACTATATGCCTGAATACTTAGAAACATTAGCTGATTTACTTATGAAATTAGATGAATCTCATCTCATTAAACTCTTGTCGAACACAATTGGTTATTATGTATTTCTATGTCCAGAATGCCATTCATCGTTGACACAGCAAATGATATCATGCACATATTATCTTCACAACGCTGGTTTAAAACAAAATGCCGTTAATACGTCAGATATTGAGAATGTGAAGTCATCCTTGACTGGCGACGACATCGATCAGAAAAAGAACACAAATTAAAATTTTTATACATTTTGTTTTCGATTACGAAATTAAAAAAAATGTGCACCATGTAATTTCGTAAACTAGTATTTTTCATGGTATTACCGAAAAATTAGGATAAATAAATAACAGCATTCAATGAGAAACTCTTAATGAAATATGCTCTCTTATAATTGATAGAATTTGATGCATGCGAGTTGCCCTTGATGAATTTACGAGCATGTTCATATTTTCTCAGCTTTGAAATGTTTGTTTCTTGCTCGATGTTTCTACTAATCATAATCAGTTTAGCTAATGATCCATAACTTCACCTAGAAAATTGCGGCTTATCTATTGGTTGTTTTTGGTGGTGATTTATTACCTAGTATTGCAAACATTACAGGCGGTGTAGGAATTGAATGCTGTGAAAAACATGACTTTGTATTCTTAATGAAATTCCGTGTGATAGTTCGCGTGAAATTTAAAAAAAAAACAGAAAAATATTTATTTTTTCTCCTTCTCTGATATACCATGGCCATGAGAAAAATGAATTCCAAACTGATATTTATTTTCGTTCAATAGAATGAAATAGACACACTTTTAACAGCAACAACAAGTTCTTTTGCTCGTTTTGGTTTCACAAGTATATATGTATTTTTTTCTCTCACTTATTAAATAAACTTATTGAAGGGTAAACACATTCGTCTTTTTTTGTATGGACAAATAATACGGTATAAAAAAATATGTAGCCTTCGTACATACATATATGCTTATCGAATTGCTTGCTGCATATAGGCAGTCACACCTGAATAGTTTCTTCGTTTTTTTCTTCTTATATCGGTATAGTGAGGTTTCGTTTTTTGCTTGTCGCACGTATACCTATCTGTCAAATAATGAAATGAGAAATACAATATCATTCTGTATGACATTGAATAAAATTTGTATATTATGAAATGAGTCAATGAGAAAGTAAACGAATTTATTCAGATAAACAAGAAAAAAAACATCGATATGCACGCACAAGAATAGATAAATTGTTTTTATTTAAAAAATGAAAAGAAAATATAGTGGTGTTTGAAAAAAGAAGTAGTGTGTTGGATATCGTCGTCAGTCAGTCGTCGTCGTCGTCGTCGTCGTTGTTGTTGTGTCATGCAAAAAGAATGTTTCATTTTTTTCTGAACAGGTACATGTGTTTCATATAAAACCAAAAAAAAGGAAAAAAGACTGATATTGTTCAATAATGAGAGAGAATGAGAGAAAAAAATTTGAAGAAAGAAAAAGCGAATGCATTGTTATAAGAGTCTAACTTCGTTGTATACGACAGACGACAGTATAGAAAAGTGAGGCAAATAGAAGCATAAGGCCAATTTGTGTTTGTCCATCTGCACCATTAATTCCTTCAGCTTTCTTGTATGCAGTAAGAAATTGTTCTAAATTAAAATCGATTTGTGAATCAATCGGTGTTCGATTAACGTATCTCTACAAGAAACACATACTTGCGTAAGCTGCTAGAGCAATGAAACAAGCGAATAAGCCCAATGCGCCAATAGCTGCTAAACATAGAAGACAACCAAGAGTGCCACCAAGAGCACCGAGAGCACCACTAAGTGCAGCCCCGGCACCGGATGAACCACCTAAGCCTGGAGCTCCTGGTCTTACACCACCATATGGTCTTACACTACGATATGGTCTAACACTACCATATGGTCGTCTAGCACCACCATATGATCTCGCACCACCATATGATCTCGCACCACCATATGATCTCACACCACCATATGATCTTGGTCTAGAAAATATTGTGAAAATATATTTTTCAAAAAGCAAAAAAATATAAAAAAAAGCAAATCTTACCGAGAACCATATGGTTGTGGTGTTGGAATAGGTCCTTGAAATGCAGAAGACATCCTCACCTATTAAGATCTAAAACAGAACATGCATATCGAAGGTTATCTGGTCATCAACTGTCCACACGTGTTCAAACACAACTTTCTATTATCAGCATGTCTTTCTCTCCTCTCTTCTCTTTTCTTCTCTTTTCTTCTTTTTTCACTTACCTACGCGATAGTCTTCTCTCGCCAGAAACGTTAACGGCTTGTTTGCAGTACGCTAAAAAGTGAGATACCACTATGCAGCAAGCTACGAAATTTTCTTCGTTTTTTTCTCGCGCTCTCTCTCTCTCTCTGTATCATTATACTCTTCTCCTGATCAATCGCCCCCTTTTAATAACTCAATACGTCCAACATCGTCATCACATTGTCTTATCGGGGATCCTAGTTTTTGTTTTCTCTCTTTTCTCCTTTTCTCTCTCTCTCTCTCGCTCTCTCTGTTTCTTTTTCTCAACTTTACTCTTCTAATAGCGAAGAAAAAGACACTAACATATAACCATGACTTTGGTGCGTACGAATTTTGTCGACGCCATGATCAAGCTACCCACACTCTTCTTTGCGAAACATATATTATATTGCTTCTTCATTTCTCTCCTCCTAGTTAGTTGTGCTACGCATGACTTCATAGTTATCATCGCTGATTTGCACCTGAGCCATGTACAAAAAACGTCATCAGAAGAAAAAAAAAGAGAAAATGCTCGTCCTTTACTTTTTCCCCCTATCACTTACACTCACCGCACGAAATAAAAATAACTATTTCCTGAGAATGTCTAATGTTTCAATAGCTAGTAAGACATTGTAATTAGTGATCAGCTACGTCGAATATCTGACAAGAGAAAGGAGTCAGTCGTAAGTCAGGAAGAAAACTAAATGCGACCAGAACAGTGTGTCGACAACATGTTTTGGTCGCATCACGTACAGGCATCGACTTGCAAAAGAGAGAAAAGTCATTATCATATGCGTGTGCAGTCAGTCAGGAGTGTTTCGGTTGATTGATTACCTGCCTTTTTTTTACATTTCATTGCGCATCTTTCTTTCTGAATTTTTTTTTCGCTTCGCATAATACCCATACATGGACAGGTATGACAAACAGAGGTAATATTCTAGAGAGAAACGATATTTCGCCTCCTCTTTCTTTCTCTCTCTCTCTCTCTCTCTCTCTATGTACAACCTTCAGGGGTATATCTCATCACTAGTAGTTATACCAAGAATGTTGTGATTCTTTTTTTTTGTATTGGCTGGCCAATTATAATTTCTTTTTTGGACTTCAAACCTCTCTTTCTCTCTTTTTCTCTCCGTCTCTCTCTCTCTCTCTCTCTCTCTGTCTTGTTATTGCAATCATCATCATGTATGCATGTTTGTGTTGATCAGAAAAGTCCCCTATTCATCCCTTTTTCTTTCTCTTTTTTTTCTTCTCTTCACTATTTTTCATGTGAGTAAGAGAGCTCTTGAATCGTCAGGCAGGTAGTGATAGTCTAAAAGAGAACAACAACAACACCCCTATCTAATTTAGGTAGGTATAGGGATCATTGCAAGTTGTCCTTGAGAAATCTTCTTGTGATTTTTGATTCAATATCTTGATCGTATTTAGTTGATTTTCCATTCTAGAGAACTCTTAAAAATGCCCCGAATTCGAGTGCCCATCCGACGTACCGGTGTCCGATACACCGCACGACCTGGTCGTCGATATCCAGCTCCGTAAGTTTGATTATGATTGACATAAATAAAAGTTTCATATGAACATTTATCTATAGACCACCCAGAGCAGCAGCATCATCAGGTGGCAAAGGTGGTCTTTTAGGTTTGATTGGAGGCTTGGGTGGCCTACTGTTGTGTTTACTTTGTTTAGCAACGATGGGTCTACTTGGTTTATTTGCATCATTTATTGCAGTAACTGCCTATCTCGGTAAGATCTCACAAAGCCTTTTTGTACATCATTGCATATTTTTATCATCAAATGTTTTCAGGCAAACTCTATAATGCATTGAAAACTATCAGTAATAGTGGTGAATCTGGTCATTATGCAAATATGGCCATTTTGATAGCTGCTTTGTGCTTTGCCGGTTACCACAAATTGCGCCGATCATTATAAACGATAATTTTCTTCCTCTTCGATTTTTATGTTTTATTTTAAATCGTCAAAGCATCGTCGCTGTTATTCGTTTTTATGATTATTTTTATTCTATCAAAACTCTATGAAAACATTTTCTTTGAATATTCGCACAAATTTCATTCTTTTAAAACACCAAGATTTTTCTTCTTTTTCTGCTTCATCCCTTTTTATTTTATCACACAGAGACACACACAAACACATCTATTTTTTACGTGATAAACAAGTGCCGATGAAAAATTTAAAAAAATATATTCGTAAAAATAATTCCACTGAAGCCATCATCATCATCTTGCAATTTTTACTACTATCAATGATATCACTTTGTATTCGCAATATTAAAACAATAATAACAAACGGCTAATGGCTTTTTTTATTTAACGCGGATGTGTTTCTTTCTTTTTGTCGCGCACGTCTTTTTTTTGGTTGTGTGTGAAAAATAAAATACGACTATTGAAAATATAATGCGTATTCATTTATAATCATATGCTACAAGTAGATCATCTATGAATAATACTTATTTTTATCTAATTATCTTACTGTTTAGAAGAGCAGAAGAAGAAGAAGAAGAAAGAAACCTAATGTAATGAAAGATCGAATTTTCGGATTCGCTTAAGCTGCTGCTGCTGCTGCTGCTTTTTTAGATGAATCTTAATTAGCGAATTTAAAGTGAAAATGAGGCTCATTAAGATTTGTAATTATTTTAGACCCGTGAAACAATAACAACCTCCATAAGGTGATCAACGTATGTGTTTTATCATTCACTTGATAAGCGAGAAAAAAATGATGCGGCGCGTATTATATTATGATAAACAACCATGAAACATATAGATAAGAAGGCGATGGACTAATCATGTGTATTTAAAATAAATGATCACCCTGAAAAAGCTTCTTATTTTTGCTATATCGGAGAATTCTGATGAATGAGTTGTGAATTTTGCAGTCAAATCTTGGCGACTTGTGTCACCTAGTGAAGTTTTTCTTTATTAGATATAAATCTCAAACCAACCAATGCAATTTCTTTATCACTCGTGTGTTGAAGAAGTTTAAACTCATGAAAAAGAAACGAAACTTTATTTTAGATGTCAACAATAGCATCAGAATCAGTAACAGCGTGAATCGAGTTGATGAAATTGATGATGAAAATAATTGAATTTTTTTAGCGAATACCCGTGACTATTGTAAAACCTATTGTTTATGGTAATACAGCACAGCATTTCGGTTCGAAAAGAGACTCCGATGGACATACACATAAATGGAAACTCTATGTTCGATCGTTTAATAATGATGACATGACAAAATATATTAATCGAATACAATTTCGTTTACATGAAACCTACCCGAATAATGTTCGCGGTAGATCATCGAAAAAGAGTTTTTTTATTTAAAAAAAAATTATTTTCTCTTTTACTTTTAGTTCTCAATCAACCACCCTACGAGATTGAAGAAAGCGGCTGGGGAGAATTTGAAACGCAGATAACAATTTTCTTTGCTGACCCGTGTGAGAAACCGGTAGGCGTATTTGTTTTGCGGAAAATTTTAAGGAATTTATTCTAGGTGGTATTTTATTTTCATTTGAAATTGTTTTCAACAGAACCCGATATTGTCGTTGGTAGAAAACCGTTAGTCAATGAATATTATGATGAATTAGTAAGTTGAGCAGTTTTTAAATATAATTTCATTGGTGCATCCAACGTGTTCGGTTATTTTTTTTATTGCATAGGTTTTTCAAGAGCCGTCTGATTTATTGGCTCGAGCAATAAATTCTACACAATTACTCCCGATATCAACCGAAGAAAATCGAGCGATTGAACAAGAATGTATGTAGATGAAACTCGAGTGGTTCTCTTTGATCGATTTTCTTTTTGTATTTATTTCAGATGCAAAGAGAAAAATTTATACAGTTACACGTATAAAAAGAGCTCGTGAACGAGTACGACATGAAATTCAAGATTTAACTGAACGACTTTGTTTAACTCAACAGAGTATAAAACATGTTCGACAACGATCAATTACATTGATTTCACCAACCAATGACAATATAATTCGAGATTAAATAGTTAACCTTTTTTTCTCTACGCAATATAAATACAAGAAGAGAAACTTACAATTGGTTAGTTCCTACGCATAGTCAATAAATATTGACAAAAGATTTTAAAAGATAAAGGCACAGAAAGATCAGCCATTAAGTTGTTTTAAAAGCGAGATGGCAAACACAATCAGTAGTTTTCCTCTTCACTGGGCAGACATTTTAGTTTTAATTGCCTATTTCATTATTGTTATCGGTTTTGGTATATGGGTAGGTGTATTTGTATTTAGACTTGACGTGCGGGACATTCGTTTCTATATTTTAGTCATCATGTAAGAATCGTGGAAGTGTTGGTTAGTGTTTAAAACGTAGACATTAAGAATGATTATGATATTTTTCTTAGGAGGATACTTTCTTGCCGGACGAACTATGACGTTTTTACCAGTAGGATTTTAGTTCATTAAGTTCGAAGTTAATCTTAAATGAATTTTTTCAGGTGGGCGCATCTTTATTTGCCAGTAATATTGGCAGTGGACACTTCATTGGCCTGGCAGGTATTTTTGCTTATGATAAATGTTTGAGAGTACTGAGTAACCTTGGTAAACTTTATGAAAGGAAGAGATTATTTATATCTATTGGCAAATAACAAAATGTCGTCTGTTTTGTTTTTGCTACGAGAATGAGTCATTCCGCTGTTAATGTTGACATTATTGTCTCGATAGGAAGTGGAGCAAGTAATGGCATTGGTGTAGCTGGTTTTGAACTAAATGTATGTTCATGAATATTGAATTAAAATATTTTCACAGTTGATTTATCGTTTTATTTAGGCAAGTTATGTGCTAGTGATTCTCGGTTGGGTTTTTCTGCCTGTTTATATAAAAGCGGATGTAAGTAAAGGATAAGAATCTAGTTGGTTTTCTGTTGGAAATACTTTAAAATTAGGTTTTTACAATGCCAGAGTTTTTAAAGAAAAGATTCGGTGGTGATAGAATTCGTCTTTATCAAACTGTTCTAGCTTTGATACTTTCTATATTTACCAAAATATCAGTTGATCTCTATTCTGGCGCCATATTTCTTAATCAAGCGCTTGGCTGGAATATGTATGTATCAATTATTGCCCTTGTTGCTCTGGCTGCTGTATTCACCATTGGTTGTATGTTAAAAGACTAAGCTCTCTCTTACTTGTTTTTGATAAAAATGAAAGCGTTTGTATTCTAGGAGGATTATCTGCTGTTATTTGGACTGATTTTATTCAAACAATTATTATGTTGTGGCAGCTTTTATTCTTATGGTTATAAGTTATGTTCGAGTGGGCGGTTTACAAATGATAAAAGAACTTTATCCATATTCTCTTGCCGATACAACATTGCATAATGATACCATGTGTGGTGTACCGCCGGAAGATTATTTTAGTATTATTCGACCACTTAACTCAAGTAATGGCCCTCCATGGGTGGGCATTTTTGGTATGACTATTTTGAGTATTTGGTATTGGTGCAGGTTAGTTTTCAAACTTCGTAGAGACCTTAAACTTGTGAAGAATTTTTGTATTTTATTTTTAGTGATCAAGTGGGTAAAAGTAAAATGTTTAATCATGTTGATGATTGACTAATGTTTAGGTAATCGTTCAACGAGCGCTTGCTGCTAAAAATCTAACTCATGCTCGAGCTGGTTGTATAGTCGCTAGTTATTTAAAATTCTTGCCTCTCTTTCTTATGATTATTCCGGGTATGGTCGCACGAATACTTTTTCAAGGTAATAGTTAGCACAAAAAAATCGTAGAAAATATTTCATGAATTTTCTTCTTATTAATGAAGATAGAATTGGTTGTTCAACTCCGCAAACATGCAAAGAAATATGTGGCAGTGAATCATCGTGCACAGATATAGCCTATCCGTTGATCGTTATTGAATTGATGCCAAGAGTTTTGCGTGGTCTCATGCTCGCTTGTATGATCGCAGCATTAATGACGTCATTAACATCGATATTTAATTCATCATCAACTATATTTACTATTGATATATGGCAACGTTTTCGAGCTAGAGCACCACAATGGGAATTATTGATAGTCGGAAGGTGAGAGAAAAAATAAAAATTTATTCTTGTTTTCCCCTCGAAATAGAGGTTTTACATTGATACTTGTTGGTATATCAATTCTTTGGATTCCAATTATTTCAATAGCACAAGGCGGTCGTCTATTTGACTATATCCAGTAGGATACATTCTATTTATGAAAATCGAAAACCAAAATTATTTCCTATAGATCAGTGCAAAGTTTTCTTGCTCCCCCCATCTGTGCAATTTATCTTCTTACAATATTATGGAAACGAGTAAACGAGGAAGTGAGTCCCATCGGAAACCAATGAAATGAATGTCGAATTTTCTATCTATAATTTAGGGTGCATTCTGGGGTCTTATATGTGGTTTAGTGATTGGCTTAATTCGTTTTGTGTGGGAATATTCATATTCCGTTCCACCATGTGTATTGTCACATACAGATCAACGTCCAGATGCAATTAAATTTCATTATTTATATTTTGCTATTCTTCTATTTGTACTCACTTGTTTAATTACGATTACGGTCAGTCTGCTGACTCGACCTATTCCTGATCAATGTGTAAGTTAATCAAAGTTAGGATACAAAGATTCATAGAAATCTTGTACTTGTTTTTAATAGTTGCATGGCCTGAATATATTTGATTTAAATAATCCAGTTAAACCAACACCAATACCAACAAAATCAGGAGGTTGGCATAAAGCAGATACTTCATTTGAAGATAAAAACAGTCCATTAACTGTTCCTATTCAATCGCCAAGTACATCTGGGCAAACGTTACGTATATTTTCTCTAGGTAATTAAAGATTTTATTTCTCCGTTGAAATTAACACTGTCGATTTATTTCTATAGATCCAATGAATAAAAATGGAAAATATTATTTTAAATTAATATTTTCATGGATATGTGGTGTCGAACATCAAGATGACAATCAAAATGGAACGAGTGATACGGTGACAATGCCGCCATTAGCAACAGAGAATTTATTTTGGAAACGCTTTTGCAATTTAAATGGTGTAATTATTTTAGGATTTTGTGCTTTTCTTTGGGCATTTTTTGCTGATTATCGTATTGATAAAATGTATGCGAATGCTTGATACATTGAACTATGAGAAAACATTTTTTTTTCGGGAAATAAAAAAACACTTTAGCTAGAATTGTGATAGTACGACAATTGTTGGCGTATGGGTGTGGGTGAATTTTAGCTTAATAAACACTGACGCTCGCACCCGTTAATTGAAAGTTATGTATAAATTGATAAATCTACAATTTGAAATAAGGCACGATAGAATTCGTAGTACTCCAAAATGATTGCTTCCTAGTAGAAATCGATCCCGTTCTTACTAGAAATTAAGTTAGAGAACTTTCAATAGATGTCACGTACGAGATACTTATAGCTATATGAGTGGTTGCTAGATCAGACATAGTTATCAAAACTTTGATGATGATAACGATAAGATGAATATTTATGTTTTTTTCCGTTTATTTTTTGTCATTTTTGTGTAGTTTTCCAAGTAAAAGTTGTTGACTTTTGATCTTATGAGTGACCATCACTATCGTAATCCAAGAGTCGTTGGAGTTAATTCTGCGTTCACTTCCTTACTGGAGGTCTACTTAATTCGTCAATATTAGGACCTGCTGGCGTATTAATAGTCGGATCTCTTACTGTCGCGGGACCTTATGTAATCATCGGTGCAGTAGCTGTCGGAGTAATCGGAATTGGCGCTCTCGGATATGGAATTTGGAAATTTCTGAAAAAATACCGTAACCATCAGACATTAGCAGTGAAAAGTCTCGAGTATCTGGCGAAGTTATGCGACAAAATGGAATCAGAAGCAATACAAATGATAGAACATAGCAATCACTTATTGACACATATTGATAATTTGTGTTCTAACTTGAAACGATTAACTTTCAGCCTCAAGAACGAACAACAACGACGTATGCATGCAGAAGCGTGTGGTCAAATAAAGAACGCCAATCATACATTGGCCGAAACTTTAAAATCAATTATTGACTTTGAGATGACTTCCAGTAGTGAACTGGGAGATACTTTGTTAAGGACTAATCAAAATGCAATAACGCCATCTGACTAACAGTCGATAAAAACTGTTTAATACTTTAGATTTTCGGGGAAAATTAAAGCTTTGTTGTAAATTTTATTCAATATTATTTACATGAATCCTTCAATCATTAACTTTGTTGAAAATAAACCTGATTTTTCTTATTTTAAAGGAATGGATCTATTGCTAACGACAGACTTTTATTCATATGCTTGAATCTGTCAGTATTTCCCAACAAACCAGCCAATTCAAAAGAAACGAATGCTGCGCCAGGAAGCACGAAAATAAAAGAAAGTGCTATAAGAAAATTTTGCGTTTGGATGTGGTAAATGACAGCTCTAAACCCACACCCTTAAATTTCTATCATTATAAAACAAAAATCAAGAGACATTTTATGATAAAGAATAATAAGTTACATAAAAAACCTTTAAAAAAAGTTAATATTTTTATTTTAAATCATAAATCTAACGAGAGGATTTCTCAATCAAGTGTCCGTTTGTTGCCAATCCAAATAAATAATTGTGTCACAAACCAATCATGACCCAGACGGCTCCCATACCAAAAATGCGTCTCCGTAAGATTGTAGAAGCTTATATAATAAGGTATATCTCTTTTCGATGCTTCATTTTTAAATTCTAAAAATGTTTCTTCTGGCTCAAATTTACTTTCATGTTTTATCTTCAAAGTAGATAATTTTGGTAAATTATCAATAATAACGAATACATTTTCTGTATCATGAATCCTACATTGTAAATGTTCAATATTTGGAAAGATTTTACAAAAGTTTTTTATTTGGAAAGAGCTGTCAATTCTAGCCTTGTACTCGATGAAATTGAAATTTTTAATCATTTTGGTTAAATATTCGAATATACCTTTATTATTTAAAATCTCTTGGAGCCAATCTGGATCAATTGATATTGATGATAATTGCGGTGTTTGTTTAAATATCTCTAATAAACAAGAGGCATCTGCTTTCTTATTATCCGGCATATCCAGATGTTTGAGATTAAACAAATTAATCATCATTTTCAAATATTGAACACGCTCAGTTGTCAGCAATGTATCAAAATGAACTCTACTTAATGTTAAAGATGTAACATTTGGAAAATAATACTTCGAATTTTCGACTAATCTTTCATATTTTAATGTCAATTTTTTAACATTAGCAAATGTATTGACTAAATTACTCGAAGAATTTGTAAAATTAAACTCTATTTGATATGTATCACATATATAAGGTATTGTATAAAAGGATATTAAATGATCTTCTTCTATATATTCAAAGCACCAATGATGTTGTTCTTTCCAAAAATCACTTTGAAATTGTTTAAATTTGTCGATTTTGGTTTGATGAGTGTATCGAAAGTACGGAGCTGATTCATAATAACTGCATTTAAAATTGAAAGTATCTAATTTAGGTATTGATGATACTATCAGATATTCCCAACGATTAGCATCAATGATATTTATATCATCATTATTATGACTGATGAATGTTAAACTCTTTAAATTCGGTGTTTGTTTTACAAACATTTCAAAGTTCGCGAACGTATCGGTAAATTGATCAATAATTAATTGTTTTAGATGAAACCTATGTTGATGATTTGAAAATATGTTAGGCATCTGTACATATACACGATTCATAAATTTAATATGTAAATATTTTAACATCGGAACGTTATTACAAAGACATTCAGAATCTTTTAAATGAAACGTCGAAATTTTAAATTCTTAATTATTGAATTTTGATGAATATTTGATATAAACGGAGCTATATCTGATGTAGCCAATGCCCGTAGTTGAGATAATGGTAGATCACTTTGTTTGATTATAAGATGTATATTCTCTTCTGATTGATTAAGATATGAATTTTGATATTCGATAGAATATTCGTCATGCGATAATAATGGAGGTGTCCATATAAATCTCTGAAGATTTGGAAATTTATTTGGTGGAAAAGATGAGAGAAATAGATTGCATTGAAAACATTGATCATCATTTAATATTTCGATTGAATGAATTTGATTTTGAATATTTGTATCGATCAGCATTTTTGCACAAAATTTATCAAATAGTGTTTTATTAACATCTTCGAAGTTAATGCAAAGTCGAACATTACGAATAAGATTATTCAAACGAGAGTTTAACTCATCAAATGAATAAAACAGATCGAATGCATTCAAATATGTAAAGCATTCAATAAGAATTTCATTGGGTAAGAATTCGAATATCATTCTCTGTTCTATATCACTCATTGTTAAAACTATATGAAAACATCCAAACCAGGTGTTTTTATTTTTATATAAAAATATATTTTTATTTCACGACTCATATTTATCAGTGATGTCTTATCAAAAATGAACTGTTGTTTTAGAATGATTCATTGTTAAGTTCTTCCTTCTGAGGGTGTGGGTCTTGGTCTAAGCAAGCACACCCACACCCACACCCTCAAGATTTTCCCCTCTTTTGGTGCGATCCAATGAATGCCAAGAGTTCAATTGTTGGCGCTGAAATTTATTGTATGTGTGGACCTTTCTGCTATGTAAATCCATTGAAAATTTCAGCTCAATTGAATGAATACTTCTTGAGATATAGGGTACCCAACAGAGCTGGGCAAGTCAAGTCTAATAAAATCAAATTTACTTAAAAAGGTTTCTAAGCCCAGTAAAATTCCGAAAATTAGAAATTTTTATCAAATCCGGTCAAATATATTAAAGAGATTGCCTAAATCAAATTAGAATAGTCAAAATATTTTCCCATGTTGAGCCATACGGTTGTTAAGAGGTATCTTCTCTTTTGATTTTTTTATTCGTTCATAGACCTCATTGAATTTGAACTATATTTATTCATATCATTAGAATGGATTCAGACCTGGGTAAGTCAACTCAGACTTGACTTGAGTTGTCTTGACTTGACTTGACTTCTGACTTGAAAAACACCTGACTTGCCCAGCCCTGGTACCCAATATCGCATTTAGTGAAACTTGAAACTGAAAAACTCAGTTGAGTTCAAGTTTCAAGTATGACACTACTGTTTATTTCATATGACCCTCCCTACAGTCGAGGGAACAACGATACTTAGTTGTTTAAGAAGTCGGTCGCATATAGAAGATTAAATTACAAAATGAATTTATTAAATAAGATGATCACATGTGTAGAATAACAACAACAAAAACAAAAATAGAAAGACAATAAATTACAAAGAAATGCAATACAATTACAAACTGAACGCAATTCCTTCAATTTGTCTATAAGAAGCGTTGTCTGTGGAGATAGTAATAAGTTCTTCAGACGTTTACTATAATCCAAATACTTCTTCTTTTGAAGTGTTGTATTGCCAGCATTGGCTTTTACCATTTGACAATGAATATAATTTTCTTCTCCTTTTTTGAGACTCTGAATAAAAATCCACAGTGATGGATGTTGAAATTGAACAACAGAACTGAATCTTCTATGCCAAGATTCAGCCAGATTGTTGGTGCGCATTGAATCATCAAGAGTTCCTTGATAGATATTCCATAGTTCGACTAGACATTTTGGTGTTGCACGTCCATTGGGACGCCGCCGTCCCACATATATGTCTTCAAAATAATCCATAAGAGGCTGGAATATTGGTGGTAATAATAAATAAAGCTCATCATATCCTTGATGAACTTCAGTTGATTTAAAAAATGTTAAAGCAGAGATCTTATTAATTATTATCATTAGTAAATTTCGAGTCAGGTTCATAATTGCTTTTAAATCCGAGTTCCTAAAATAAAATGAGCAATTTAGCGAAGTTGTGTAAAAGCATTGCTCACTTGAACTTTTCCCAAGATACTCCTTTGTAAATCAAAGAAACATCCCGATATTTTCACAGAATTTGTTATGGTATTAATTTCTTCTTCAAATGCACTTATAGCCCATTTTTCGAAGTCCACCATACTGGACTTAGGGAACCACGCAGGACATAAATGACATAATTCTTTAATTAATCTTTTGTACGATTGCTGTTGTTCATCAGGAAGTAATGCAAAAATCAATGGAAATACATCATTTCGATACACACCATGAGTTGTATATAACTGTGCGAATATTAAAGGTGTTACCTAAAGTAAAAAGTCAGAAGAATATTATTTTTCTTATTGAAGCCGTTAGCAATAAAATGATTTACTTTAAAAGTACCATCTATTAAGATTTCTTCAGTATCTTCGAGTAGTTTTAATTGTGCAACAGATGCAAATATAACTAATCTGTTGTCACCAGGTCCATAATCAAATTGTAAAAATGTATCTTTTCTAAGTGTGGCTGTTAAAATTTTTGGAATCATTGTAAAAATTTTCTCTTGTGGAACTTGAGATAAATTTTTTTTTTTCGTTGACGTTGAATATTTCGTTTAATATGCTCAAAATTGGAAAGACGAGCCCGCATTTCATCAGATGTATCTTTTAAACAATTGTCGATAAGGCATTGCGTACCTTCATTAGTATTTATGGCATGAGTACGTATTTTACCATGAAACATTCGTACTTCGGTATTTGCAATTAATGGAGGATTAGTATGATCATCATTTTCATGATTGTAAGAGTTTTATTTCTTTTGAATGAACTACATAGAAAAATCTACTAGAAAGAAGTCACATTATCAACCACGTTCAATTGCACAGCAATAACTATTAGTTGTTGTATGTTTCGAATGGATTTCCTGTTTCTTATTTACGTACAATTTTTCTCTTTCTTCGAAATTTTTAATGTCTCTACTTACAGTTCTTCTCAATAAAGTAGGTATTTGCAGCAAATTCGAAAGAAGAAATTTAAAAAAAACGGAGGTAAAGCAGGCACAGATGAGGCAAACACAGCTGCCATACTTGCAAACGAATGAATCATTTGAAGAAAAACAACTTTCATCGCAATCATTCACGACATTTGAATTTGAATTATTCGATCGAAGTTAGTAAATTATTAGAAAGATTTGAAGAATAAAAGACACTATTCTTCATGTAATATAATTATTTGGCATCGAGATACTCCGAATATATTAATTATTTCACGCTCCATAAATCTATTGCATGAGTTTATGTAGCAAAATGAGACTTCTAAAATCTCAAAAAGCTGTTTGGTGAGTAAGGGTAACAAGAAGAAGGCTTCTGATCGCTAATTCGTCAGCTCATCGGTTTACTTGTAGAAAAATAGTTCCAAAGTGCGAGAAAGGGAGTATATTATCTCTGAAGAGTAACTATATAGCTTCCGATCGAATGAATGTTATCTAAAGGAAGAGCGTTAATGAAGTGTCCAGTAATCTCAGTCTGTTTGAAAAAAAACTGATCGCGTCATTTAACATTGAGAGTCAAAACTTGATCGTTAGTATTTACAGCTAAAGAACTGTCTCTATCAAAATATCACATTATAAGAAGGAAGATAAAAATATTAGTTTATCCGACGAAACTCATCCTCATTGATATATTATTATTGTAGAATTGATAAAGAATCAGACTTTTATTTTAGGCAAATCTTAGTATACTTAAAAAATTTAGAACTTTTATCACAAAAAGACACCGATCACAAGAGGAAAAACAACGTAATCCACAACCTGAATCATTCACTGAGACCTGTGAATTAATCTATACTAAGATCTAGCACAGATATGGGATGCATTAGTAAGGAATTGATTAAAATTTAATAACTATTCTCCATTCTAATTATCTTTCATTTTTATTTAAAGGTTCCAAATCAGAGAAACAAAATTGTCTAGATTCATTAAGTTGTAAAAAAGCACGTAGCAAGATCGCACGGATGTGTATAAAACTAGAACCATACAAAATGATAACAAAGTACAAACAGGTTAGTGAAAGGTGATCACGTGATAGTTATGATCATTACTTAAAACAGAATCATTTAAATATGATGATTGAGGATGTGGGTTAAGGTCGGTGGTATTTATGCATACTGTGCACACCTAGAACGACGAATAGAGTTATTGAAAATTATCTAGATCCTTTAAATTTAGAAGGATGTGAGACAAGAAACGCATACTTTTAATGTTTATTTTTTCTGTTCGTAGCTCTAAAAGAGAAATTCCTTTCTGAATTAACACAAAAAGTGCAACTACACAAGCTTTTTATTCTATTATAAGTGGTTCATACAAAAGCTTATGAAATTAATATACATTATATATCAAAAAATCTCTGAAGCGCACCATTTTAAAAATCTTCTTATAGTATTAACTAATAGTTGTAGGATATTGTATATTTTTGCATATACCTCAATTCAGACAAAAGGGTAAATCGTAAAAACAATTCTGGAAGTTTTTTTCTTTTTGCATGATTGGTCAGATTCTTGAGATCTATTATATTTTAAATTGAGCTCTACACAACTTTGTATTTATCAAATAAATTCAATTTTCGTTATCATCATATTGAGAGCTTTAAGAAATACATTACAAACTTGAAAAAAATTTGCATTAATCGTTAATTTAAAATGAGCTTCTTATCCGTAGAATTTTGCTCAATTACGTCAAATCTCTCTATTCTACAAGAAACGTCTACTTTGAGAAATAATTAATTAATCAAACAAAAAAAAGCTACTATTATTTGAAGAGCTTTCCACGAAATTCTTCTGTAAGATTTTCTAGAAATATCTTTGCTTTTTCATTAAATTCTAGTCATTCCTAAGATTCCTGTCAATGCACGATTCAAACAGAATGTTGAGACTGTTGCAGGTAGTAAATGCAGCGGCAATGCTCCCAATCAACTCTGGGCCCCTTATGGTCTCTTCGTTGATGGCGATCAAACAATAGTCATCGCTGACTGGGGGAATGACCGTATCGTCCAATGGAAGATGGGTGATACGAATGGACAAGTCGTAGCTGGTGGCAATTACAGAGGAAGTCGATTGAATCAATTGAATGATCCAACTGATGTGCTAATCGACAAAGAGACCGATAGTCTCATTATCTGCGATTATAGGAATCGACGAATCGTACGATGGTCTCGTCGTAGTGGCACCAAACAAGGAGAAATCCTCATCGGCAATGTCGATTGTTGGGGATTGGCCATGGATGATCAGAGATATCTCTACGTCTCTGACTACAGAAAAAATGAAGTAAGACGATATCAATTGGGCGAGAAGAATGGCACTGTCGTAGCTGGTGGTAATGGTGAGGGCGCTGGTCTCAATCAACTCAACTCCCCGACATATCTCTTTGTCGATCGAGACCAGGCTGTCTACGTGTCAGACAAATCTAATAATCGTGTGATGAAATGGAATAAAGGTGCAACAGAAGGAATTGTCGTCGCTGGAGGTCAAGGCCATGGGAATGCTCTGACACAATTGTTTTGTCCTAATGGACTCTTCGTCAATACCTTGGGTACTCTCTATGTAGCAGACTCTACGAATCATCGAGTGATGCGTTGGCTTAAAGGAGCGAAACAGGGTACTGTTATTATGGGTGAAAATGGTACAGGAGAAGAAGCAAATCAATTTGGGTATCTCATTGGTTTGTCCTTCGATCATCGTGGCAATATTTATGTCGCCGATACGAGTAATCATCATGTTGAACGTTTTTCGATTGAATAAAACTTCATTGCAATAAATTGCTACCCCTCACGTTTTTTTCTCTTTCCATTCACGCATGGCAACGGACACACGTCCTCCATATCCCCCATATGATATTATGTCAGTGAATCCATCAGGACCGGTCGTGTTACCACGGACTCCAGAGCAGAACCTGACCAAATGTTTAAGGTCCACTCGGAAGACCTATAAAAAGGGTGAACCCTACTTTGATCGAAAATAAAAATATTGAAAGGTAAAAATGTCGAAAAGAAGCGATGTCGAAGAGTAAAAATCTCGACTGATAAATATCAAAAAATTTCTTATTTTAGTTCTGTGCATTAAGAAAGGTTTGTTTTGTTTTTTTCATTTCAAAACTTTTATTTATCGAAAAAACGTGAAGCACAAATTTGTTAAAAAAGCGGAATCATGCTTGATGAATAACTAATCTTCTGCCGTAAATTGGGTTTCCAGGCGGTTCTTTTTTGCTTCAGCAACTAATAATAAACCAGGAAGTAGATCTGATGAGTTGATGATACCATCATTATATCTAGCATCAAGAGTATTGATACAACTTTGTATGGAAGCTGTACGTGGTTTTTATATGCACCAGTAGAATGTGGGTGTGGCTACCATTTTCGTTGTTTTTATACTTAAAAAATTTTACTATTGAAAATTTTTCCTGTCGACATTTTTCTCGTTCGATACATTCACTTTCGACAGTTTTACCCTTTGATATATCTGCTTTCGATATTTTTAACTTTCGACCAAAGTAGGGTAAACCCCTGAAAGAAATGGATTAGTCAATATTTGGGTGTGGGGTCGGGTTGGGCGTGGGGGCGGATGTGGGGTGAGTGTCAATGTTGACTCTTTTGTTCTCCACACCCACACGCTCACGTCTACAACGATTTCAGCAACATTTTCGTGCATATATGCGCTCCGCGTAATCAAAATAAAACGAAACAATCTTTCGGCTCTTGATGACATATTTGCGTTACGAACAACAGTAGTGGATAACTAACACCAATGCAAATAAAGAAGCAACAAAAATGTTGCTCTTGCATACATAATTTCTTTTTCACAGAGGTTTCAAGGTAAAAAAAAACCACTCTACTACACGTTCGCTACAGTGCTCGGCAGTGAAGAAGAAATGGCATATTTATCTTGAAACCTGAAACGGGTGAGCGCAAGTTGGAATAAAAATACAACCAAATACTCGCACAAAAAGGGTGCAACAAAACGGTACATAGCAGAGACCGTCACAGGGCAACCTTTTTTGCCCTGCCCGGTTCTCTGCTATATCCTGCCATGAAACAGGGCAGGTCAGGGCATGATCATAAATTGAACTGAAATATTGAAAAAGGTAAAGACTAAATGAAAATGTTGTAACCGCTGAAAAGTAAAGTACTCATATTTTATTTATCTATAGTCGAGAAAATATAGATATGCGCTTAAAACATGATAAAATATGAGTAGCAAACAGCAATTAAGATTATCACAAAAATCAGTTCACTGCAAAAATAATGCGCTTATCGTGATCTGGTGAATTGAATATGTATATAATTTGAATAAGTGAGAAATCGAGTAAATCTTTCACATTTATTCTCCTCAACTCATCGTGCTGGATAAATAAAGACTCTTCAAAATGTACCAGTAGCAAGAGATTCATTGTGTATTATGGAGTGGTAAGATTTATCATGAAACAAGAGATTTTCTAATTTTGTAGAACCGGGCGAGTTCATATCAAGTGAAAATAATTTAAAACATAGAGAACTAAGCATACAAAACTAAAACATGCGAAGAAATTTACCATTAGAACATGTTGAATCTTTAAGTGAAATTTCCTCTGGAACACTAAGCTCATGTCTGAAATCATTTAGAAAATACTTCATCATACACACAATTCTTAAATTAGCTCGTTCTCTTATACAATATTAAATGATTCTACCATGTTTTGCATTTCTCTTTGAAACAGTATTTTATTTTTATAATTGAATTATATGATAATAAATGAGTAAACTGGTATTGTCCGAACTAGACATAGTCACAATTTTCACAGTGACTGGCGCACAATGACATACATTATAATCCATCACCATGTCAGCATAATCGACTGAAAAATCTGCTGTATATCAGTTTATAGGAAAAATTATCAGGGCGCAGGGCAACTTTCTATTTTTTCGCCCTGCCCTGTGACGGTCTCTAATTCGAACAAATGATTGAACATCCATTAATGGGTATATGGAATGTAAAAACAATAAATCTTGGTACACAAATTATTATTCATATTCAAAGAAAAATTCAAGATCAACAAAAATTTCTTTTATTACATCAAATAGAACAAGCCAGTATTTTCGAACATTATGTACAAAAAAATCATATTGATTTATGTTATCAATCAGCTCTTGTTGGTCCATTAGCAAATACATTACAAGAATACAATGACTTGTTAACATCAACACTGGTATCTTCTGAATCTTCAATAAACGACGATTTACATAGTTTAATATTAAAACGAGATTCTTTACCAATTGTTTATTCATCTGTAAGACGTCCAAATGATTTACGAGATTTAATTCAATCTATGTTAGATAAAGATATGATTCAATCGTTAAATAATACAGATATTTATGATTTATTTTTGAATTTTACACATGATCTTGAACAGTATTTATCGCACACATCCATATTTTGTACTACAATATTAATGGTGTGGGTTTCAGTCTCTTTGTCACAACCACACCCACACCCTGAGGCTTAGTAAACGTATAATGAGCTGAGGGTGCATGAATTGGTAAACGAGGGGATCTACCGAAAAAAAGCTGATACGGGGAAAACTGAGTAACTTTATGAATGCCACTATTATAAGCAAAGACAATAGCCTGTAAGTACTCGTCGCAATTGTTAGCCTGTGCGTTTTGTAACTTAGCGATCTGAGGAATAAAGGTTGCGCTGAAGCGCTCGACAACGCCATTGGTTTGGGGATGATTTGCAGTACTGTAAATATGACTATAGCCGATAAGCTTTTGTATGTTCTCCATCAATCTAATATGAAAATGAGTACCGCGATCGCTCAAGATGACTGAAGGAACACCATATTTACAAAAGAAATCATTGAATAGGGATTGTGCCGTGGTCTCTGCTGTGCAGTTAGGTGGTGCAACTGCGGTGACATGTCTGGTGAAATAGTCGGTGAGAATCATGACGTATTGATTTTCTCGGGGTGTACGTGCTAATGGTCCACAGAAATCGATACCTATTAGCTCAAAAGTGCCAGCAGGTAGTGAAATTGGGTGCAGGTGACCATACTTTTTATAACGGCTAATGTTATACTGTTTACATAGCCGACAAGATTGTATGTACTTACTTATAAATGGTATTCTACATTTTCGGCCACCAGAAATGATTCTTAAGTTTGTGGTAAGTACGAGCGAGAGAAAAATGACCACCGTTCATGGGATCGTCATGGGATGCACGTAGCAAAGAAGTTATCATAGAAGAAGGTAGATAAATGACCTTACGTTTACGTTCGGAATAGCGATCAATAGAAACTAACTTATAGAGAATATTATCCTCTTGAAGAAAAGAAAGACGATACGATCTGCAATGAAGATTCGAAAGTATTCTTTGAATACAAGGATCTTTATCCTGTTCAGTTTTCAAGTGTGTTATATCAAAATAATTCGTTGAAAAGCGTACGGGAATTTTCGAACTAGCAGAAACGTTAGATTTAGAGGTCAAATCAGATGTCAGAGAATCATCGTAAGAATGTAAAGCTCCGGTAGAATCATCGAACAACTTTGACTGCTTTTTATGTGGACGCAAAGTCATAGTAGCTACAATATACGATTTTGCTGTATCAGCTGTAAGGGGAATATCAGAGGCCTTATCTTGTGAGGTTAAAGGGGGTATGGAAAAAGATCATTTACTAGCTAATCCGTATTCGATATTAAATAATTCGTCTTCCGGCTCCAACGGATAGCGGGAGAGATAATCTGGTAAACAATTGTAGTAGCCTCGGATATGAATGACTTTCTCAATATTATATTCGTGAAGGAGGAGCGCAATACGATTAACTCGATTGTTTTTGACAGTCTTTTGCATTATGCAGCAGAGTGGACAATGATCTGTCATGATTATTATTGAACGACCTAATATGAGAGAGCGCATACGTTCGAAGCACTTGTATATGGCTAAGGCCTCTTTTTCTATAGTACTGTATTTTCTTTCGGCTGGAGTGATAATCTGTGAATGATAGTAAAGATTACGCAACGTGCCATCGACTTCTTGTTGTAATACTCCTCCTACACTGTAAAAAAAGGGTTTATGAAAGTGCAACGTCTCACATACCCTTTTTTCCGTTTTTGAAAAATCTGATAAACTCTTTTTCTAAGTCATAAACCTAAAAACCGTTTATTATTTTCGTCATATACGGAAAAAAAAGGGTTTATGATACGTTACACTTTTATAAACCCTTTTTTTTGTTAAATACCCTGTAAAAAACGTTTTTTCCGTTTATTATTCTGCGGATATTTTTTCCAGTGTATGGCAATGTTACTAGCATGAGTTGTAAGGATCAATGGTAAGCCATCAATAGGATAGTGCAAAAACAATGGTGCTGTAATTAACATGTGTTTTAGCTGCTTAAAAGCATCGGACTGTTCCTGAAACCATTTGAATTTATATCGGTGGTTCCTAGTGTAACGATTTCTGATGTTAAGGAGGTTGTTGTCTTTGGTGTTGAGTGTATATTTTATTTCAATATCAAAAATCGCTCCCAGTCTGTATTTCTCGTGATCCTTATATACTATTTCTTAGCATATAATGACCTTGAGAAATACCATAAACACAATAACATGAAATAAGAGAGTGCCTAAGATAAGGGGTACTTAATGGTACTAATCCAGAGCCAAGGACAGAAAATCGATAGTACTCCTATGTAGTGTAAAATAGAGAAAGGAATAGAAAAGAGTATAGCTGAGGAACTAATAAGACGGTGGCCTTGAGGTTTATTCCATTCGAAGGATTGTATTTCTAGCATAGATAGCTACACCTAGTGAGATTCGTCACTGAGTGGATTGGCGCAGCAACGCGCGCAAAATCAGGTAAAAATGTTCTGTACCACCCTAGCGCTCCTATGAAAATATTAGCCTGAGACAAGGTACTTGGTTCAGGAATTTGAAGGATCGCAGTAATCTTATCTTGCATGGGTTTTATACCGCTGATGTGAATCGTATGGCCAAGATAATCAATTTGTTGGATTGCTAGTGCACATTTCGGTGGGTTTAATATGAGATTGCTTGCCTGTAATGCACTAAGTACAGTTTTAACATGGTTCAAGTGATCAGAAAAAGACTTAAAATAGACTATAATATCATCGATGTAAATCAGGGAAAAGGTGCGACACGATTTTTATGTGTGGATCATTACACGTTGGAATGTTGGGGGAGAATTGCGGAGGCCCATTAGAAGGACATTGAATTGGTATAATCCAAAGGGGGTAATAAAAGCAGTTTTCTTTTTGTCTTGATCAGTAATGGGGATTTGATAAAACCCAGATTTAAGATCGAGTTTTGAAAAGTAACTACGTCCTCTGCCTATCTTTTGGCGGGTATCTTCCATGTTAGGAAGAGGTGATGAATCCTTAATAGTTACAGCGTTTAGCTTTTTGTAATCAACTACGAGACGAAGTGATCCGTCCTTCTTCTTAACCATTAATGCCGGAGCCGCATACGGGGAATTTGACTCAGAAATGAGACCGGCGTGTAGGAACTCCTGGATTAGCGTATACATGGTCTCCTCTTTGTTTGCTTGTGGATATGGTCGACAAGCGAATGGGTAATGGGAAACGGTATTAATGAGATGGGAAATTGGTGTCCGGGCAATATTATGTTTCGTAGTGTCAAAAACTTTGTGAAACGGAACTAATAAAGAGTAGAGAGCATGTTTCTGTTGAGAATCCTTAATATGATTAAGTAAAGAATTAATATGCTCTAACACTGTAGAATTCACATCAGGTGTTGATAAACTATCGGAAATGCTGGAATCATTACGTGGACAGCTAATATGAAGGGATGTATCATCACAGGAGAATGATGAAGCGTGTTCTGTAACTGTATTTGCTACCATAGGATCATGCGTTGGCGATACGCCTCAACAGCTGGCAGCACCGGTAGACCCATGTGGTAGAAAAACAGATACTTGCGAACGAATAGATAGAAAAGAAGATAGTAAATATCCAAGATATGTCCCTTTACGTAATGTTTGAGAAAATGAAGATATATTCGACAACATAACGGTGGAAGAGTAGTTCTTGAACTCGAGTTTTGTGGTATCAATGGCAAGAGTTTGTTGACTTTGAAAGAAAGGGTGTAATGTGAATGTTGAACGGGTAGAGGAAATAGGAATCGAGACAACCGTAGCTTGAGAAGAGCTAGGAGTAATGTATACAATTTTAGTTGTTGTTACAGGAACCTTAATGTGATTAGGATGTTTATCAAAAGGTAATATTGCTATAGTATTATTATGTTCTATGCTAACTAACTGTTTTTGAATATCGACCTGTAAATTATACTTATTAACGTAATCCATACCAATGATCATATCCGTACATAAATTCCGTGCTACATGAGCCTGTATAGTAGTTACTAGGTGAGAAAAAAGAACTGTCACATTAACTGATCCAAGCACAGAAAAGGGTGCAACTCCATCAGCTAATACGAAGGAATATGGTTGTCTATGAAAATGTTTCGGGTGGGTGAGATGATGTAAGATATTACTATTAATAAATGATGTTGTTACTCCGGTGTCTATTAGAATTTTTAGCTTATAATTGTTGACAAAGGTGGAAATAAAGATCAGTGAAGATTTTGATGGTTTTGCTGTGCCAATGCCGGAGTGAACACCATCTGATGATGACTCCAAGGTTAGAAATTCGGACAAGCTAAAGGCTCATGTCCGGATTGATTACAGCTATTACTGATAGTAGAAAAAGACATATCATCTGGCTGAGCAATATCAGCAGATGCTAATAGTGGTTGTATCGAGTTAGCTGTACGGCGGCGAAAGTTACTGTTGGTACGACGAGAATTAACATTCTGACGCGTTGGAGCGTGACTAGGAATATTATTGCTAGTATTCATAGGTATATACGAAGGTTGAAATCGATTCGACTGAAACCGTTGATTGGATTGAAATGTGGGATTCGCATAGCGACGATAAGAGTTATAGGTGTTACTAGGTGTGAATTGTGTTGAGGAAAATGGATATTGTTGATTACGTGGATAACTTCGAAACTGATTAGGACGAAAAACTCGACTATAACCCGATGATATATTTGCAGAAGGAGTTTGTAAATCAGAAACTTCAATTGGCTTCGAAATACTAACCGCACTCGTATTAACATTTATGCCAGACAACTGTAAAAGTTCCTCGACTTCCTTTGCATAATCCAAAAACTGAGCAATAGTTGTGGGTCTTTTTTTACGGACTTCAAATTGGATGCCCGGTTTTACTTTGTTTAAAAGATTTTCCAACTTAGTGGAATTGATCATATTAGCGTCGGCCTCTTTGCATAATTTAAGAACTTTATGATAGAAGTTACGAACAGATTGATTTTCGGCCTGTACATAAGACTCTAACGTTTTGAATGCGAGTTCTTCTCGAAAGGATGATGTGAAAGCTTTCTTAATCTCTTGTACGAAGATATTCCAAGATGTAAATGTCGATTTGTACGATTTATACCATTGCAAGGCATTTCCTCTTAATGAATACAAAATAAGATCTAATCGATTGGTATCCGAAACATGTGCAACTTCCATAAGATGATCGATATCTTCGATCCATTTCTGTACGCCATCTTTACCTCCTCTAAATAATTTCAGATTCTTTATTAAATCTTGTAATATAGCTTTACGAAGACCATTCGTGATGGTATCAAGTGACATAGTTGAAGCATTCGGTGTAACTGAGGAATGATTTAAAACTGACGCATCACCAGATGAGCTGGTGGCGTTCGGTTCAACGATAACATTGCTCATCTTAAGTGAGTGCAATTGGGACGTCTCTGCCGACTGAGAAACGGACACAGGCGTTTTCTTTGGTTCTAGCGTGTTCGAAGTGTCAAACCCAGAAAGCAGGAATTCACACAAGTCATCAAATGATTGAATTGAATGATGATGGTGAATATATTTACGTTTAGCATTACCTTCTAGCAAAAGTGGTATCGTTTCATATCTCAACGAGCGTGATATTTTGTATTGATTGAATAAACTCTCAGTTACATCTAGCCATTCGTCGACGCGCTGCTTACCAGAAAATGATGTAAAGGTACTCAAAATGAACACATCGAATGAATTATCATCGTCATAACATTCCTCTCGTGTATTATCAACTTTAACATTTCTAGAGTCCAATGGCATATTAGTATTTTCATGCATGGTCTGAACTACTTGTACATTATCGATCTTTGTTGTATCTTTATTATCAACTTTATTAATAGAAGATGAATCTTTTACATGTTCTTCCTTTGAATTTTTAAGTGATCGTTGATTTGTATCCGTACCTGGTAAAACCTGAGGTGAAAGAGTAATTGCAGGAATGAGAGCTTTTCTTCCAGGCATAGGTTTGGTGCTTTGCTGACTATCTGACTCATTGGTCATATTAGACGTGAGTGCATTAGATGTTAGCGTGCTAGTTAAATCGAAAGCATGAATAGATGTGGATCGATTCATCGTAACCTTTACTAAATTTAACGCTTAGCGAAAATATAGTTGAATTTTATTTATAATCAATAGAACAATTACGATGAAGAAAAACAAAATTACAATATAATAGAAGTTGATTGTAACTAATGAACGTGAACGATAAATAACGAGATAATCGAAATATACTTATGTATGTATATGTAAGAATGTCAACAAAAAATTGTCTCGAACTGAGTTCGAAATCGTGAACTTCTTCACTAATGTAAGGTCTTAATAAACGGCGTATGTTTAAAAAGGACGTACTTTTGTATTATGGTTCAATGACGTAGATAAGTGTTGAGCAATTTTATTTTGACAACACGAGCAGAATAGTGATGTAAACAGATTAGAATAGAAGAAGAAAAACAAACATGAAAACATGATACATATATAATGCACGTGATAAGTCTATTGCGTCATAATTAGGGGTGCAATAGTTCAGCTCTAGTTCTGAGCGGAGGAACTGTTCGAAACTTCATTTCAATAGGAGCTGATTGATTTGAACAGCTCGTTCCAAAAGAGCTGATCTGATCGAACAGCTCTCGTTCCTGAACTGACCTTATCCAACAGCCCGTTCCAAAAGAGTTGATCTGATTGAACAGTTTTCTCTCTCTCTCTCTTAAGAACTGATTGATATTATGCCAAAAATACTATCCAAATCTGTCCATACACTTCAACATTCGTATTAAATTGTGTCTCATAAATGCTTTAAATACCATTTCCAGACAGCGCTGAAAAACCTATAAGTATCACTTCTCAAAAAATGATAGATAATTAGACTTACTAATAGTAAGTAGCTCTCGGAAAATTGTACTTACTATCTTTTAGTAATCTTTGAAAAGTTATAAAGAACTTCCGAAGATGGCCCTTGAAAAATTGTATATGTTATTTAAAATGAATTCAAAAAGATTTTGGATAGTATTTTTGGCACAATGCCAATCAGTTCTTGAGAGAGAGAGAGCTGTTCGATCAGATCAGCTCTTTTGGAACGAGCTGTTCGAATCAATCAGCTCCTACCGAAATGAACTTTCGAACAGCTTTTTCGCTCAGCTCAGCTGAACTTTTGAGCTTGAGCTGATGCACCCCTAGTCATAATAATAATGACAATTATCATTGGGGACGGTAGTTAGCGCTATCTGTTATGCTAACATTGATGATCTTTTTATACAAGTGATGCCCCAGCATACGACTGCTAGCTATGATAAAGATAAAGATAAAGATTCTTGCTTATTTTCTACGTATTGGCTGATGATTGAAAACAGGGTTGCCACCTCATCAGGTCAGAAAAGCGGAAAATAGCGGAAAGCTGTTTTTTCGAAAATCTTTTTTATCATCCTAAAAATATTCCTTCTGTAATACTGAAACGACGGTATTGGAACTATCAGTTCACGAGTTTACGAAGTGAATATGCCACTGAAGGCAGCACTTTTTTGACACAGGGCTTTGAAAGTTTATGCGAATAGTGTGGAATCAAAAAAATTTTAACTCAGTTTTCGCAGCAGTAGGAGAAATTATATATTTTACCTTTCATATACACGCTGAAGACGATTCCTTTTTGGCACACAAGATAAAAGGTTTGCCCGAAAAACATGCACTGTCAAAAATAATGCTGGCTTTTCACAAAACCAAGAGAAAAATATCATTTCTTACATACACCAATCGAGTATGACTTCGCTTTCATCTATTATATTGGCAAATGAACACGAATTCGAAAGAAATTTTCTGTTATTCAATAGCATTTCAAGTCAAGGAGAAGGTATTTCATATTGGAAGCCAAAATGAAGCGAAGTGTTTCAACGGAAAAATCTATTGGAAAATCAATTTTGCGAAGCGAAAATTTTACTAGAACTCAAGGACATTATGAGTTAGAAAATTATTTTCTAAGAAACTTCCATCGAGCAGCATCTTATCTAGTTTCTTGTACGTAGAATTGTTCAATAAAAAAGAAAATTTGTTTTTAGCGAAAAGCGGAAGAGGTGGCTACCCCGATCGAAAACTACTCCAAGCATTCTATACATTCATGCGAACTATTTAGCATTGAATAAGAAACAGCTTTGACTAATCCAAAAATTGGACAAATTTTCTACTCATTTTTTTTGCTTTTCAAAACTCAGGTAGTTCGAGTCCACCCTACTCTGAATTCCTGGCGCCGCCTCTACATGTGCTATGAAGCAGACGCATTTATAAGTCCGTGTGCGGGTTTAGTGTTCTTCTACTTTTTTTTATTACTATGAAGTGAACCTGAAACATTTTTCAGTTGGTCTGTGAATTTAGTGCCTCTCATAAAATATATTAGAACATGTAACTATAAACGAAAGCTTCCCTTTTAAGTATCCTCAAATCATCAGAGAATACAGGGAAAGTCCTACAAAAACTTGATGGAAATAAATAATGCATATTTTATATACTTTTGTCTACTAAATGAAGTCAAAATTTTTTGACATAAAAGTTTAGATAAAGTGACTATTTTTCAGATTCCCGATACTTCTCGAAACCAACATCGAAAACTTATTCTAAACTTTACTAGATTTCTTTCACGTGGTGCTTCATACCATGCTTTCCAAAATGAATAACGTTTTTCAGGATTATTGCCTTACCAAAATAAAAAGGAAAATTTCAGAAAAATGAAGCAAATTTATTTTAATGAATATAAGTTAAACTGAGCAGTGAATATGTTCTTCAAACTTAGTAAAAGCCACAAATTCAATTCGACCATATGTTCTTAGGTCAAAAATGTTCAATCTCCACTGTCTCTAATTCACGAATCTCAGAATCATGAGAACTTCTTGTTGTGTCTTCTCTTGCAGAATGGCATTTTTTGTTCAATGAGTCTATTATTCGATAAATGCATTCTGTTAACTTTTTCGTCATCTGCAATTTTTCCCATGCAAAAATGAATATTGATAACACGCAAACAACTCCAAACATCATAAATAATCCAATCAAAGCTCGAGAATCAATTGCATCGGTTGATACTGAATCAGCAGGACAACTTTTATATTGGAACCATTTTGCATACAAATGATCTAAGTCACCTGATTCTCTTAATAACAATAGAGCAACATCTAAATCGTTTGCATATATCCATCCCTTACGCATAGGAATAGCAAATATTCCTACATTAAATCCTCGACCAGCTATTGTTAAATTGCAATAGACATCATTAGTCATATATTCAGCACTACCAGTATCTATAAAACCAACATCGATTTTATCATCTAATAAGCTTTGATATATTTGAGCATAACTGTGTAATGGATAATAGTTTGGATTTCCTCCAGACACTTCTGTTAAATAATATTCAAGTGAAGCTGAACCTGCAAGAAGACCAATACGATTACCGGGAACGTGTCCATTCTTGATATCGTCAATTCCAGATATAAAAGGTTGCGATTTTGATATTGTCAATTGTGATGCTAAATTTGCAGTGTATGATGCAATTATAACCAGCGTTAAGAAAAACATGGCAGATGATATCAAACGGCCAGCAATAGTTTTAGGGTGTAACTTCACATCGCGTCCCATGAAATTACCAAAAGTATACCAAATAATCATTAGGTATGCAGCATAATGTGATTTCTTTCGTAAACGTTCATTAGCTACTCTTTCTACTATGCATATCAAAATGCTACCAAAGATAAAAATACCAATGATCAGCAACCACAAATCCCACGAGAGCGGCTTGAGAAAAGAAAAGAGGTCTATTTGAATATCGGCTTGTGTTCGAATAACAAGGCGCACCGAGTTGTCAAATATTGAATTCGAAAAATCGACTTTTTTTCTTCGATTTGCAGTCACTGTAATATCAGCAACTACTAGATCATAAACACCATGCGCCACACTATCAACAAGACTATTATAAGTTTGATTACTAGGAGCGAGTCGAATATCTGGAATAAATCCTAGTTTAGTTTGTAAAAGATTTATAAGATCAGGTACATAACCAACGAGCTGGAATGTAGTGTTCCCAAGTGCATCGGTTACATTTATAATATTTGTATATTGAGCTGATTGAATCAAACCTAATATTAATTTAACTCCTTGGAGTTTTGCACCACTAGTAGGAGGTGCTAATGTATTTCCAGGCCAAATCAGTTGCGTAAATGTATTACGTTGCCAACCAGTACTATCAGAATAGCTCAATGCTTGTACAAAATTGATTCCAGTAGGAGAATATTGTATGTTATTCGCAACGTAATAACATCCATTAATTCTGTCTGTTGTATTAGCACTAAACTGAATATGGCCAGATACACCAAGAAATTCCATGTTATTTATTATATCGAATAATGTATTAGAATTGAAAAGGTAACGATCGAAACAATAGGTAGCATTACTAAGAGAAATACAAAATGAAGTATTATTTGTTATTGAACAAAATTTTTGTAATGATTGAACCAATGTCCATGCTGCATCAAACGCAAAAAATGCATCATCATCGACATTGTTGCTGCCAGGAAATGTTTCAGGTTCATATTGATTCCATAAATCAAACGCTGCATTTAATAATGTTGTATTGATTGGTGCATTAGCAACACTTGCAACTGTTGGTTCTAGATTAAGCAATCCAATCAAGTTTGGATAGTATGTTTGATTAAAATTGCTCAAATCAAAACTTGCACTTGTAATCCATAGATAGTTTGGACCAATTAAATTATAGTCAAGTGCATTTTGTATAATAGAAGGTACATAAGGAGGATTGACCCACAAAACTACAATTCTTGTCGGGCTAGTGGTCAAAACATCGTTTAAATTGTGTTGCAGACGACGTGTGGCAATATCAAATACTAGAGTTCCTGCAATTCCTAGGCCATTTTTTAAAAATGCATTAGTAATAGCTGTTGCACCTCCGTTTCCAAATGCATCATTTTGATAAATAATTAGGCAGGAAGTCCAATTATAGTTGAGAAATAATTGAGCAATGGCTAATGCAGCTGCATTATCAGATGGAGCTGTACGGTAAAAAGCAGGATATGCATTTCGGTTTGATAATGTAGGATCAGTTGCAGATTGTGATACAACTGGAATACCGATTCGTGCGCCTATGCCAGCTATGATAGGAGCTTCACTTGAATATTTGGGGCCAACAATACCAACAATGTTTGAAGTTGACATTGCTTTGCATGCAGCAGCTATAGTGTTTATTTCTATACCAGCGGTGTCTACAATTTGGCCCGTGATGAATTGTCCTTGTATGTTAATATTATACTGCCTAGCAAGTAAAATAGCCGCTTGGAACATTGCTGCAGAATGAATGGAGGTTGTGACAGGGTCAGATGCATTTGTTGCATTTGCAACTAGGTGTAGCAGTTGGATACTGGAAGGGTTAGTTGAGGGCCAGGTGGCACTTACATAATGCAGATTATATCGTATCAGAAGAAAGACTAGGAACAATGATTGCACACTCGCTATTTTCATCATATTTTTTTGTATTGTGGACAGAACTTTTGATCTGAAAACATGCGAAAAATATCCGTATTTAGACAGTAACGTGCGACGGAACCCACAGATGGGGAAAATTGGTCAAACGTTTTGATCTTGCTCAGGGAATAAACACTTTTAGAATCCCATTGAAATCAAACTTAACATCTCTTTCACGGTATCCGATCTCTTCATAGACTAAGATAAATGCATTCTCTTAGCACATCAAAAAAAGCATATCCTAATACTAAATAAACTCATTAGTTTAATAGAAAAACTCTTTATAGCTATATTATTCTGTTAGATTATGAATTTCGAGTTAAACGGTTCGCTATCTCAGACAAGCGAGTGGCAATGGAGAAAAATTTTACTGTCAAAATAATTAAAAGGATAAGCAACGGTTATGAATTGCGCAGTGATTTTAAATGATTAATCTGGAAATCTCTTAACAATACCGCTCGATTCTGTGACGACTTCTTAGAAAGATACACTGTAAAAAAAATCCGCAGAATAATAAACGGAAAAAACGTTTTTTACAGGGTATTTAACAAAAAATAGGGTTTATAAAAGTGTAACGTATCATAAACCCTTTTTTTCCGTATATGACGAAAATAATAAACGGTTTTTAGGTTTATGATTTAGAAAAAGGGTTTATCAGATTTTTGAAAAACGGAAAAAAAGGATATGTGACACATTGCACTTTCATAAACCCTTTTTTTTACAGTGTAGTGTATATTGTTGTTTGAATCTTGTATAAAAAAATAAATAAACCTCTTGATACGCATTATAAGAATAAATGATTTCTCCAGATTATGAAATGATTTCACTTGTCCAAAAAAGTACGAAATTACAAGAGCAATTGTCCGCTGTTTACATAGATTTATGTATCATCAATGCGATGTGCATGCACTATATCCTATTTAAAAATAAAGCTGTTAACAAGAAAAAGCGTAATCACATCAATCGAACATATCTTAGACAAATTTGTATCAGATGACTAGTTTATTTAAAATAAATATAATTATTTCAAACTAGGTTCTTTTAAGGTAGCTTATCAGACGAGATACTTTTTTAATTGGTGTATAGCTATTTGAAAACGTCTTGAGCTGTTGAAAAGCTTGAGTGAAATCTTTCACAACTATGGATGGCACGCTGCTATTATTAGAAAATTGCTGCTGCACCGAAATAATCTAGCAACTCAATTAATTATCTATTCAATTATGAAGAAGTATTTAATCATAAAACTTCAGACCTGTATTATTTATTATCCAATAAAATAAGTAGTATGCATACGAATGTTTGTAATACTAGAAGCAATTATATGTATGAGACTATGTAATAAATTGGATATGCGTGCGATAGCTATTTGAACATCTTGTTTAGACAATTATGTTCAATGGAAAAATCTAGTAAAATGCTTATGCTTGATTTTTCTTCAGACATATAGTACAAGTTTCTTGAGTACTATAGAGTCAGTCAATTCCTACACTGTAAAAAAAAAGCGTACTATAATAAACTCTTGTGCTTACTACAAATCATGTTAAACCCTTCAAGGGTTCATGAAACGAGGGGTTTATGAAAAAAAGAGGATATATGAAAAAAAGGGTTTATTAATCTGAGATTTAAGGAGAAGGGTATATGATTTTATCTTCAAGGGTATTTTATTCTATTATATCCTTTTTACTTCGGTCCATTAATACAATGTAATAAAAGGTAATATATCGTGTCACATATGAGTTTGTATGCTTTATGTTTTTCTTCATTTATTTCAATATCAAACAAATAATGTAAGTATAAAAATATTTTAGAAATAATTATTTCTTTTTTATTTTCCATTTAGATTCATTGCAAAATCGTGCTAAAAGTAAGTATCAGTTTTCTTTTATAATTATCTACATTTAATTCCTTTGTTTAGTTTAATATCAAAAGCAAAATAATGTAAGTATAAAAATATTGTATCAATAATTCTTTTTTTTAATTTAGATTCGTCGTAACTATATATTAGAATTAACTATGGACACCGATCCCAGACATATGGGACAAAAATAATATACCCTTTTAGCAGTAAGAAACAAAAGTAATAAACCCTTTTTGGGTATGGGACAAACGTAATAAACCCTTTGGAAGGGTTTAGGATAATTATACATAAGCAAAAAAGGGGTTTCTGATACGTTGCACTTTCATAAACCCTTAAAAAGGGTTGATTAATGTACGACTTTTCTTTACAGTGTACAGCTACCCAAAAAGCATGATTATAGCAGTTTCTATATTTTCCAAATGTTAAATATAGATTTCAATGCTCTATATTCACATTTTTTTATGTCCTTTACTCGAAGAAAAAGTTGAACCGAAACTTTTCAACGCTTTGGCATCTGCTTAATGAGTCATTTTCAATAAAACAAAATACATGTTTCTTTAAGGCTACCATTTAAGTGGTCAGTAAAAAAAATGAACTGATCAGTAAAAAAGTATGGAAATGGTCAGTATAAATATTGAACGGTCAGTACTAAAATGATCAGTAATTAATTCTAAAATGGTCAGTTTATTAATGTAAGTAGCAGTAAAACATTTCAATTTATATCAGTAATAAATACAAAATTAATCAGTAAAAAAATAAACTTTACCAGAAGAAATTAAGTTTAAATAAATCTTCTATTTTATTTTTAACAACTTCACCAACACCTCGAAATGCGTCATCGTGATGTTCGTATTCAGCTTCCGTTTCATACACGATTACTCTATCACGATCTGCATGATATAATAGATAAATACTGAAAGCCCTACTGAAACCATCTTGCTAATGTGCATCAGTTTCTTGCGCTTCTGGAACAAGAAATTTTGCGCTAGGGGCAAATCTTGAAGTCTCCACAGGTCAAGAATGCGAAAAAAATCATCTCAGAAAAACATTGATGATCACGACGTTTAACTTTTTTGGATCTCTAATATACTTTTATCGCATCTTCTGTATAGTGTGTGTAATGTTTTGACAATTGATTTTCAATTGATGCTTCTGCTCTATCAGCATTATCAAGTGTATCTTTTAATCCAACTATTTGACGTCTTTTTTTCAATGGTTCATTTATTTCCACGTATTTTATAATCTTCTTCCACCGTCCCTTCATCTGATGTATCGTTTTCATATTGAGCAATTTGAATCACTTGCATAGTTAAAATGTCTCATTTTTATAAACGTTTAAATATGTTATTTTTATTTGAAAACTATTAAATATCTATACATGAACATGGATAAAGACAACGACCAAACAAGACATCGAGAGGGTTCTTTTGCTTTATTTTAGATAATGACTAAGAAGTAGAATTAAAAAAAGGATTCTTCTTATTCACAAAATAAAGGTTAAAGAAAGAACAAGGACAGAATAATGTGAATATAGTATGTAGAACAGCTGAGAGAAAAAAGAAGGCAGAGCAAATTTGATTCACTCTACTGCTGTTTTAATTTTTATACTGACCCTTTAGAAAAATTGACTGCCAAAAATATATTTACAAACCTCATTAATTTGTAACTGATCATTTAAGTAATTTACTGACCAATCAATAATTTTACTGATTTTATAATTATTTAACTTACTAACGGTTTCATTTATTTTACTGACCATAAATTATATCCCCAAAAAGAACGTTTGCAATCTTGTTTCAAACATTATCGATTATAGTCCATTTTTTGCAACTAAATGAGCAGAATGTGTCGAAGAAAACGCTCGAATCAGATAATAATTTGCACGAATAATACAGATTTTATTCATAAATAGTATTTAGAAGATCGTTTGTATATATTATCATAAGATAATTATCTAGTTTAGATATCTTAAGATGTTCCTGGTATTTTGCTTTTTATATTTCTCAATATTTGTGTTTTTTTTTTAATAATAAGTAAAGGAAAACAGAAAGGCGTTTTTTTCTTTCTTTTTGCTAATAGAATCTCACCCAACATTCTAATGTTGGAATGATCTATCATATGCGTGACACTTGAGTAAAACCAGATATTATTTACCACGCATGACATACGTAGAAACAAGATGTATATTATAAAATCTCAAGGAAAAAAAGGAAGGCTGTTTTACTATTATCAATATGCCTCTACCATCAGATCCAAGGTATGATTTTATTCCAACAGCATCGATTATTGCATTTGTTTTTGTTGGCGTATTCATGGTTATTAGTCTAATTGGACGATGTCTTGCTTTAAATCAATCAACAATACATAGTGGACAAAATTTAGATTTAGTCATTTTTAGAGCACCACCAAAAGCAAATCCTCCACAACAAAGAGCACGTCCATTAGCAGATATGCAATATGGAGCTAATAATAATCGAGAACAGCGAACAACACTTGATGCTCCGATGACACCGGTTACAGTTCAACGAGGACCGAAGAATCTTTAAAAAAACGAGAGCATCTATTTTTCTTATCTACTTTGTTCCTTTCTTTATATTTTAACAAAATAATGCCAAATATTATTGTTGTATTTATTTTTTCTGAGTTGCTAATAATCAAAGGTTGTAGTTTTCTCTCCCTTGATCTTTCATAGCAATTTGACGTTGATGAAAAATGATGAAGAATTATGTAAAATAAAGTAAACATGCTGATTAGTAAAACGAAGCTCTTTACTATTGAATAATATTAAAGAAAATATTTGAAGGATACTTTTAATAAGTTCTATCAGTCAGCCTTGAGATTCTCACCTTGCTGTAACGAATCCATTTATCACGCGTCATGGTACAATAAACTAGTAATGCTCAAGGTCTTACAGAATATTATTTATTCTTTCTGTCATTTATCTTATACAAATCAGGGTGGCATTGTTAATATAGTCATACCGGTTATTCTTCAGCGCTAGTCTTCATAATTAAGAAAAAATATAATTTTTTTGTTTTGAAGATTCACAGAACATCTAACTGTTACTTTGTAAGATGAAGATACAACCGGTTTTATATGAGAGTCTGTAATGCAGACTCTGCATACTCCAGATAAGGATTAGAGTTGAGTAGAAAGAAAAGACGAAACTATGATTTAATCTTACTATTATTATTTGAAGACTTCTTCATAGTAGATTTCAGAATTCTCAACCAAGATTCGATCAGTATCAAATATACACCATATTCATAAGATCATAGTAGTACAGCATCATTATAAAGAATTGATCTAGTATGACTTAAAAGCATAGGTCGAATTCAAATGTTTTTTTTATTATTATTAAACTTCAATATAGAATACAATTTTTTTAAATGTTATTTATTGATGATGCTGCTAGGCCAACATTAGAATATTTGACTACGATGCTATTTTTTTAACGATTGTTAATTTCACAGATAAAAGAAACCAATTAGAGTATGGTTCGTAATCCATAGTGATCTGATAATAGTAAAAGGTCTCTGAATATCGTATATAACAGGCGGGTCATAAATAATTAGACTGTTAGTATTTTTCGAATTTCTTTTCTTTCTCATACCCGATTGAGCTGATTCTACTCTCAAAAGATTCCACGTTCAATTCTCTACAAATGGTGTATAGCCCGATAATACGAAATTTTGAGATATTGTTTCGGTTGAACAAAATACGAGGTGTCCCAAAAAACTGAAAAAATGTAACTTAAAAATTGCTATTTCGCTAATAATAAATCAAGTTGTTTAATCGTGTCAAAGCTAAATATGTAAAATTGTAACCCTTGAAATTCTCTCTTGATTGGCCATCAAAGCGAAATTCTTCTCTTTATTTTATCCTTTCATTTATGGTTTCCGTAAAAGTCCCATCACTGGTTTTGAGCCTTTTTGACTTACTTATTAGGACCATCCGCAGATTGATCATATTTTGAATAAGATTAAGTCAATCAGACTCTCGTTCACGCGTCATATGAAAAAGAATATTTTTCCCTACTAAATGCACATCTAAATAGTTTAAAATATTGTTTTGTTAAAAAATCGAGATGATATCACTTCATAATACTAACATAACATTTCGCTGATGTTATGGCGGCAAGCAACTAATTATCCATTTTCTATCAGGTTAACGCAAGTAGAAAAAATGAATTTAGTCCCCATCAGATAGAGAATATCTGAATGTGTAAAAACATAACTTGGGATCTGATTTGTATACAATTTTGACATAGATTTAAAATTGCAAAACTTTGCTAGAAAACGATTACATTTTTCAGTTTTCTTTTGACAGCTCGTATTTTGTTCAACCGAAACAATATCTCAAAATTTCGTGTTATCGTCTATACATCATTTTGTAGAGAATTGAACGTGAAATCTTTTGAGAGTAGAATCAGCTCAATCGGGTATGAGAAAGAAAAGAAATTCGAAAAATACTAACAGTCTAATTATTTATGGCCCACCTGTTAAAAAGACAAATTTCCATACTAAAATTAAAATTAAAGCTTATTTTGACACCATCATCAAGAGTATAGAAAAATTTCTTCATATTTGTGTATCAATATTATCGAGACTTTAAACTAGTTTAAAGAAATATGCCTAGTATGAGTCTTATAAAATTCCATAGGGATCGGGTATTTTATGAAAAGCTAGCTCATGAGTATAATACATTTTTTGAAATCTCAGTATTGGATTTAGATTTGAATACGTGCTAGTGTTGGTTATTGGATTATTAGTATTGATTTTTTTCTCCACACATTCATATCGGTAACAATCTATTATGCAATTTGTTCGAAAATTACAATATTCAGTATCGAACAGAAAAGTTCCAAATCTTTCAGTAACACAGCAACTTCATACTAAAAGCAAAAGGACTCAATCATAAAGTATTGCCCTTTAAGAGTCGTTACTCAGTTAGAAAATTATCGTACACAGCCTGAAACTCCATATGACGGCAGCAATACCACTGTTCTAGTCTTAATACTTGTTGTATGCTACATTACATATCTTTATTACTGTGCGAAACACTGTACAGCGATCCTTTGAGAAATTTTTAATGCGATACGAAGCATAGTATTTATGTAGTCCGTCGCGTGTTTTCTTTTGCTTTTACTTTCTCGGCGTACGCATCTTTTTCGTCATTTTGTGACCCGATGATCTCGAGTGCCAAAAATCATAAAAAAACTCATTGAAACGGGAGTTGAAAGTACCGAGATCGAACTTCTGACATATTTTTTCTATTCTTTAATCTGATATTCTGTTCACTCACAAATGTGGTTCCAAAATGACGGAAATGAAAGAAATTTGTTGCGAGATAATTAAAGTGACGTCATGAACATATGTTAGCCACCATAGTCTATTCATTTACAGCTGATCTAAGATAATGAATCATGGAGATAATGAATCGATCAATCGAAATCGACCCTTAAGAATGTATCGCTAAGTAAGAATAGAGTTTTCTCAGTGATGAATTTCATCATGTCGACATAAAAAGTATTCAAGATTTCTCTGAATTGAAGATTTTTCGTGAAGATCCGATTAGAGCTTCGCATCGCATTCGTATTCGAGTTAAACTTGAATACCATCTGGTTTATTTTCTGTCTTCTCTTATATTTTATTGTACACGCTTAATTTTTTTCATTTACATAATTACTTCGTTTTGCTATTTGTTACTTCTACTGCTTCTTCTTTAAAAAAAAGTCTTTTTTTTCGCAAATACACATAATACATTATTTCAACTCAATTGTTCTTTACAATCACTTGAACTCTTCCCAGGTGGAACATTCCGGACACCAGATCCCGTAGGATACTCCAGTAAATATGTGGGAAAGTAGCCAAGTCCTGCAGGAAAACACGGGAAATCGCTGGAACATGGAAGCAGTATGCCGGTCAAAAATTTGGTCGAACTTTTCCGGCGGATTCCTGCCAAATTCCGGTGCTTTCCCGCAGGAATTGATCGAAAATCACCGGAATTAAACGGAACAGGCCGGACTGTTCGACTTGGGTTCTTCTCTTCCAATATATCCTATTTGCCTGTCTATCAAGTTCTCTCTTTCTCCTTACTTGTTAATTATTGGATCTTCATCTGCATTCAAGTCTTATTTATCTCGATTTTACTGCTTGTCATAACTAATTATTATGGAACCCGGTATTTTCAAATAGTTGCGCCTCAGCTGACTAAACTGAGGACGTTAGAAGTAACGATCACACCAGGATCGAGATTTTGAGTTCTATCTCTCGTCAACTTGCTAATAATTCGTCTACACATTTATACCAGTTACATTTGAAAACATAGACAAGTTTTTCATCCATTCAAGTATGACTAAGAAATATTTCTATATCATCAATGAAACATGCAACTTTCGATAAAGTAAGTACCATTGTTTAATCATCTGCTTGTTCAGCAGCATTAATCGATACTTTTCACCATTCGTTCAATTCTTATACTCAAAAAAAAATGGGGAAATTTTAATGAAATACTTATCTGCTGTTATTGACTCATCAAAAAGTGATTATGACAATCGACTAATGGCAAGTAATGCTCTTCGTAATGTACTTGACGTCATCAGGCAAGAAATGCATTTACTATCCGATCGCCTCAAGTGTATTGAGCGCTCAAGAGCTCCACTCACAATTACTAATGTCAACTCCGAACCGAAATCAATTTATCCAACTTCACTCGAATGTTCAACAACTAATATGTTTGAAAGTTATCCAGCTGAAATAGAAATTGATCGACATACAGTCGAATTTACTCCAGCACGCTCACAAGTTAACAACAATCGATTAATACTAAATGAAAGTCAATCACTACAGTTAATGTCATCACATATCCTGGCAACTCAGCCACCAATGCGCTACCAACGAACATCAGCACTTCAACCAATTCAAAGACCGATGAGTGATAGTCCTATTCATGTTAAGGAGATATTCAATTTTTAACTGAATTCGAAATACGAGCTTCTGCACTTGTTGGACAAAATGATACTCTATTTCTACATTTTGTTCAACAAACTCTTTCTGGAGGTGCTCTTATATTATTCGGTAGGATAAAAACATCTGCCGATCGTGTCCACAGCTGGGCCGAATTTAAAACATAATTTTACGAAAGATATCGTACTCCTGTAAAAATTCAACATTTTCGAACTGAACTTGGTCTTTTATTTCAACATGATAATAAAAGTACTTTAGATTATTTTGAATGTTTAAAGAATCTTATAATTGAAATTGGTTCGAATTTTAATGATCAATGACTAAAACACAAATTTATTCAGAAACTCCGTTCGGATATTCGCTCTCGTCTTAATCTTGACATAAATCTTTCAACCAGAGAAATTGTTCGAATGGCACAAGCCACTGAATCTAACGTATGACAGCAAAAGGTCAACGAAAAACTGAAAGTAGTTGCTACTCAAGAAAAGGAACATTCAACTAACTTTACTACCAACAGCATCTTTAATAATTATAATTATTGACATTCGTCGCTTACATCAACTGTTGCATCATCATTGTCTCAGTCCAGTGTCCAATCGTTTACAGTATGATGAAATACGACTGAACTAGTGTGATCTGTAGTATGCATGTTTTTTTTTATAGCAAGAATATGACTTGTTATATAGCCAAAACTACTAGTCGTGCTAAAAGGTCACAATCTTGTATAGAGGCAGCCGTTCCGGGTGTAATACGGTTTATAAATGCTCGTTTATGCTCCTATTACGATTATATAGGATCATATGTAATAAACAAACTGTATTGCCTATCTAGTTGATGTCAGCGACTGGAAACAAATAATCTTACTAATAATATTAAGGACTAATGCGTATATGTGTGGCATAGTTCTTACTTGTTATCCGACAAGTCATGATATATCAAAAAATCATATCTCCAAAGTATAAAATCCTAAGGCATTACTGAAGCTATATTCAGATCAAGTTGACAAAAAAATAGCGTTATCAAAAAGTAAAAACAAAATAAAGCAACGTGTTCATCGATTTGAATTGAAATACAATTGCTTTGATGGATATTTTGAAGCCATTAAAAAATGCCTGCATATTGAGATTTTCAATTTTATCGATGAAATATGACGACGAATTATTTTTATTTTAGTGTGACTCACAAATCAATGCGTTCGTTCAGACTCAAAGCCTTATGTATTGTGTTACAAGCTGCCTCAAGGCACTTATGCAAGTTGTGGAAGCGCGCTTCCACAACAAGAAAACAAGACAAAACAAAACAAATCGAAGACGCTTTTACAAATTGTATATTAGTCCCCACCAACGATAAATATGTGCTCTTTAATTGAGGGAAAACTTTTGGATTCGGTTATTTCCTGTGTCTGCTACATAGATATTGAGCTGTGAATCAAGAGCAACTGCTCGAGGTAAGCACAATTTATCTGCATCAGTACCACAGACACCAGTAATACCAGCGATTGTAGTACCATTTGATTGGCCTGCCAGAAACAGTTGAATACGATGATTAAATGTATCAGCTACATAGATATTGCCTATATAATCAACCGTCAAACCCATAGGCTTGTATAGCATTGTCGATGAATTGCCAGAAATTCCAATCGTACTACCAGTTATAAGTGTCCAATTACTAGCCCCTAATACCCAACGAACAATATTGTGGCCCAGATAGTTCGCAATCACAAAACTACTAGATGACGAATCAAAATAAATGCCAGTTGGAGTAGCCAATTGATTTGTGGATGTACCTAATCCATTACCACCAGCAACCAAGGTACCAGTCGATGCACCCGATGCATATTGCATAATTCGCCAATTATTGGTGTCCGATATGTAAAGGGTGCCTGTATTCGAATCACGTGTCATGAAATATGGATATTCAAATTGACTGCTATTACTACCATGGCCACCTAATAAAAACGTTAAGCAATAATCACCATACATAACTCATGTAACAAAAGAAATTACTACTATGATATTTTATATGACTTACTATGTCTATGATTTTTCTCTACAATGCAGTCTACTTGGAAATGAGACTATTATTGTCTTGATCAAATTTCATTGATTTTAATTTTCTTTCAAAATAGAACGCAGGAATAGAAAATATTTTTAACAATTTTGTATCGGATGGATATAACGAGTTGGCATATTATGCATCACAAGCAATTCATTTCACACTCGAGTCAACATGTAACTCTAATTCATATTCTTACCAAATCCAGCAACTGTTATTCCACTTGAGGCTCCACTTGTCCAAAGTTGAACTCGATCATTCAATTGATCTAATACGTAGACATTGTTGCTTGAATCTACAGCCAGGTCAGCAGGACCATTCAGAAAACTGGAATTTGACCCGGACACTCCATTTTCCTGGCCAGCAACTGTTATATTGCTGCTCGACGATCCAATATCATATTTTCGAACCCGATTCTTGAGCCCTTCAGCGACGTAGATTACATTAGATGAATCTACTACTAGAGCATTTGGACTGCTGGCTGCTACGGCAATTACAGTTATACCTGTTGCATTCCAAACGTATGATGGTAGTGTTGCTGCAAAAACAAATAGCCTTTATTGGTTAAAAAAGATTTTGCCGTGTTTTTTGAAAAGTTTTCTATGGGAACTGATTTTTGATCTCACGTGTTTTAAAATATTAATATCAGAGAATGAACAAACACACTCTTATGATAGGCCATAAATCTAAAGATTTCGTCTATAAAATTTAATAAAAATATATCCGAAAGTAAACACAAGGCTGATATTAATTATTTTGCGTAATGATAAATTTCATAAGAATACTTACCAGAAACGATCAATTGAAAAAATTCATCTACATTTTCACTCTTTTGTATAATACGAGAAAAATAACGAGAGCGTCAAACGATTTATATTATGATTATTTGAAAAATTCAGCTGATTTTTTTAACTTGATTGCTATATCAACTTTTAAGCATATAGTAATAACGAGGGAAGATTTCAAATGACTGAAAAATTTCGTTTACTTGGAAAATATTTGAAACGCAATTAGAAGAAAGACTTGCAATATTATTTCTTTTATGTGTGTTAAATAACCCCGTTTTCAATATTTTGTTTGAATATCGATAAAAACAATAATCTTTTAATGCATGTCTGGTTAAAAACTTGATTTAATTCGTTCCAAATCCTATATCCATGTTTCATAACTTAAGTAGCGCAAAATATTCATGACATACGCATGGCGTTACACTTTTTACTGTGGACATTAATAACTTTCGTATATTCAAAATGGTTTTTAGCATTGCCTAGATTCTTACTTCTTTGTATAGCTTTCTTATAAAATACTCGAATACTTTATAGAATAACAAATACATACATATATATATATATATCAATATATGCGAGTCTAGTTACTCTCACATCCAGCGATATGCATCGCTGATGTGGTGAATGATAAGTGTCGATATCAGAAAACAAGGATTGCCCAGGTCGAACAGTCCGGCCTGGAAACGGCCGGTTCTGGGCAGTTTCGTTAATTTTGTGGAAGCAGTATTCCGGTTGCAAACTTTTCAGATTTTGTCCGGTGATTTCCGATCAATTCCTGCCGGAAAGCACTGGAACTTGGCAGGGATTCGCCGGAAAAGTCTGGCCGTATTTTTGACCGGAACACTGCTTCCATGTTTTCAGCGATTTCCCGTATTTTCCTGCAGGATATGGCGACTTTCCTGCATATTTACTGGAGTATCCTACGGGATCTGGTGGCCGGAATGTTCGACCTGGGTGCTGGCGTACTTACTTGTTTGTCCAGTCGTTGTTGTAGTTTTTGAAGGAACCATGAATAAGGGAATAATAATCGTGGCACTGAGTAACACCAGAATAAGAGTTCCAAATACATACCAGAATACACATTTATAAGTACATCGACAACTAAAGGCATTAAATTATACGTGTCAAAGATCAATTGATATAAGTCAGTTAATAAAAATAAAAAAAACAGAAAAACATACTTACTTCCGTTGTTTACTGTAATTATTATTCGAATGAATTGTTTTTTCCAAATGTGTTTCATTGTTCCATGTTTCTGTAATGTGCTATAATACAAAAGTTGAGAGAAAAATTTAGTGAAAACTCATAGTGTTGCTTCTATGCTTAATCTCGTTTCTGCTATTAAAATACTAAAATTGATATGGGTACACATGAAATATGATAGTTGTTTTGAATACGAGACATATACATCGATGAGTATGTTTAGATTTGTGCATACCTGTTCATGGAATGTTTTGCCCTTTTCCAATGAAATCCCAGAGGATAACGGCGATAAATTATAATTGTGGATTTGGTTGTTTCCAATGTTAGTGTCCTCCTTCATTGGTAGATGATCTTCACGTCGTAAAGTAAAAGTCATATTGTGGTGTTTCCTTACATTATGGAGCAGCTAAAAATGACAACAAAGACATTAGAGGCAAATGATGGGCTAGACGTTGACAAGCTAGATAGACTTTTTGAAAAGAAATATTCTTAGCAAAATTGAAGGTTCATTGTCATCTTAAACAAGTCTTATTTTCAGAGAAGCAAGCCTAGAAAGCTGCCGTTTGATCATAATAAATAAAATAAATGATAAGCTACTAAAATTAATTGTTTTTTAATAAGTACTTCAAAGCTAGTTGTACATACCATGTAGCAAAAGCAACTGGCTTCATAACTGAACGATTTAATGGGCTCAAAATTAGTAAGGAAATTGTTGGATTACTCTATCGTGCATAAGTAAATAAGAATGATTTCCTGAGAGTAATCAAGATCTAGTGGAATTATAAGAAACGATCATTATTCATACTGAAAAGTAAGTGGAACACAACTTTTGTAATTATTCAAGTAAGAGAGCATCGGAACAATGCGATTTTATCAGTATGGAGGCTGTGTCAGAATGAGCGATAATGTTAAAATACTGCATGTATGAGGTTTAGAAGTATCTGAAGGCTTTGTGATATGACTTCGTGCTGCCGTATCACTATGTATTTACTCATATAGATGGCCTCAACTTAGTGTGTTAAGTCTGTCTAATTCTATGCGCCTATTTATGAGTGTGTTTAATTGCATAAATGGATCAAAGAATGAAATTGGCGCCGACACCAAGATAAAAACGAAAACGAAAGCTCGAACCTTTGTGGATTCTACAGTATTGTATTATAAGTATACTGTATAGGAAGAGTTGAACATGCAGTGATGCAGAAAGGTTCAAATTTGTTTTACCGTTAATAGTTACTATAGAGATGATTTCAATAGGATGTGAAAGATAAAAACAGTGCTCAGCGCAGCAAAACTTATTTCGTAATCTTTTTCATTGTATTCGCTTTGTATTTTTGAACTTCTTCTAAAAATCAACTAAACTACAGTCGAATCTAATTGAAAACTACTGATAGTGCTGTAGAAATTTTCCAAACTCTAAGCAATCTGTTTGTGCATGATGAAGTACTAAACCCTCCCCACCCCACAATAAAAGACCCCGGACCTTCCATTATGTTCCAGCGTAAACATTTTCCAGGGGGTCTTGCATTAAGAACCTCATTTTTTCCTAATATTTAATTTAAAAGGTTTTCCAGAAAACTAAGGTGATTTTTCAGGATTTCCATGAGTATTTTCAGAGTTTTAAGGGTGTCATTAGAATTATGAACGCATTCTGTTAATATTTCCAGCTTAAAATGCTAAGGCTCAGGCATATTTTGATGGAAAAACGCTAATTAAAGTTCGTAATTAGCAAAAAATTAATTAATTAAAGGGAGTTTTCTATTATGTCGGACAAATTTTTTCTTCAGGGGGGTCTTCTAATATGGGGAGGGGGGAGGAGGCTGAGTGTGAAGCCCCACTTTTTTAGGAAATAATTTTATAAAAATAATTATGTCAAATCTGTGTTTCCGTTTAGATGAGCGAAATAAAAAAAATAGTGAACCTCTTTATTTTTGTTTTATACATGCTATGTGAATGAAAAAAAAATCGATTTTTCCTTTTCATTTCCGAATCAGATAAAAGTAAGTCTCTTTTTGTGATTGTTGCAAGCAATAGGTTAACCGATTCCCAGTTTCTCTTTCTTTTTATTCACGCACACCAGAGCATCAACCAGGCCGTGTTTTTGTAGGCCTGACCGGTCAGTGACAGGCCTTTGCATTTCAAGCCTGCCTGTGCCTGTCAACTAATTTGCTTGGCCTGGCAATTTTTTTTAATGCTAATACCATTAAGAGGATAGAATAGAAACATGCAATTAATGTTGAGAATGAAGAAAACCAGTTTAATTAATTTAACACGACTAGATTGAACTTTTACTTAGCGAAGTTTTCATACAAAAAATGAGGAAACATCGGATTTGCATCCGATTGTTGTGTACTGCCAAAACTGAGTCGATTTATATGTTTTGAATAATTCTGAGAAAAAATTTTGTTTTTGAAAAAATCCCTGTACTCCCCCTCAAGGATGGTCTGGCCAATAATGACAATTTTTTCGATAGCTCAGTCATTTCTTGACGGATCCTTCTCATCTTCGAACTCGACTGAGATATTGATGAGATCATTCTGTGTACAAAATTTCAAGACAATTGGACGAGACTTTCAAGAGTTATCGTGCTAACGGCCGGACGGACACACTGGCCGAATCTAGGGTGTACTCATTTTTTTTTTGAGTACACAAAAAAATACATCAGAGACAGCATGGTATAACATTAAGAAAAAAAGTTTTGTTTTTGTTCAACAATGTTTTGAATGGATCTCACAAAGAGAATATCATTTAAAAATTGAGGATCCAAAGAAGAACGACGTTTTGTTACAGCTAGTCCAGCAGGTAAATGAAAACACAACGAGTCAATGGAGAAAGAAAACGAACTATGCAATTTGAACTGAACAGTAGTCATCATTTGGATCAATCACAAATGAACACAGAACATTATTCTATACTGCATCTGATTATTAGCGCCAGATTCAATTAAAAAAGTTTATATCAAAAATAAAATTATAAATATAAAGAATAGAGACAGGCCAGGCGGCCTGGTGTTTTTAAGCTGCCTGCCTGCCTGCCTGGACGAGGGTTCGGCCTGGCCTGTCACAGGCAGGCAGGCAGGCCTAGTGGTCTGGCTGATGCTCTGACGCACACGGTGAGTTTATTTTAGAGATATTAATTTTCTGTTCGCACGATTACTAAAACTATCAACGAGCAACATACAAGACTAATTTTCAAACGTTTCTGTTTTTCATGAACTATATGTAATTATTACAGAGAAGATTTTCTAGCTTTGCTTATCATGTGTTACGTTGGTATACAAATATATGAGATAATATAGCGCAAAAAAGAATAAAGATCTAATTGATTTGTACCAGTAAACTCTGTTTTGCGTATTAAAAAAAGGCTTAGTATTTTCTTATTGATTTAAAACTAAGCTAATAGTTCTGAGGTAATCTGTATAGCACCATTGCATTTTTTCCATCGATTAGGTGCACATCAAATAGCTTTTCATTGATGATCAGATCTTGCAACTTATAACACTGAATACAAGACTGACCGAATGATTATTTTTATGCTGGTGGACTGTTTTCTTGCCATTCTGATGGACATGACGTCGTGATTTCACCATTACATGATGAATATCACTAACTCTTGCTTTAACTCCCAAAATATTTGATCGATGAGGATGCTAAATTGAATAGTTTATTAGAATAAAAGCAGACTACTATACGAATAGCTCACTTTAGTTCCGAAGGATTGATGTGTAGAAACATGAATCACATGTAATGGCAGTGATTTCTCTTGGCCTAAAACAATATGTGACTTCAAGTTAAGTTTCTGATAGATATTGAAACAGACTTTTATTGATCAATGATGGATCCATATTTAGTATCATGGCTGTCGTTTGTCTCTTGTATGTTGTAAGAGAATTATTTCATTACGTCCGAAGAATCATCGGTCAAAATAGGTTTCGAGATGCCTACTAATCAGCTCTTATTACAGTAAGAATAAAAAATAAGTTATTTTGGAGATGCTGCACACAGCTATACAGAATTTAATCAATGTTCTGCAAATGCTTCGTTCTCTTAGATGGTCTTATTTCAATTGGATTTATAGGCTTCATGAAAAAAAAGCATTTCTTTTAGCTGTACCTTACTGGAAAAAAATGTGTTTTTAATGCAAATCACTGATGACGTCGATTTACTTAATTTCGTTTCTAACAAATACTTGGTTATTGTTGCAAAGACTATGCATACGAAATGTATCAGTTTTCGTCTCTTTTACTACGATGTAAAAAACAATACTTTTGTCTAGCTTCTATGATGTTACGAAATAAAACGTGAAAGGCACATCAGCTTTCTGTATGCTCTGAAGGAAGAATTCTTTTTGAGCTAATTTAGTACTTTTTACAAATTGTTGTTGCCTGCATATTGCATACAGATACGCTCTGTTAGTCTCATCGTTTATAACAGATAAAACAATTGTAAAATTCAAAAGTACAATAATTATCCCAAGAAGACGTTATTTGTTCTACCCTTTCTATTAAGAATAATGTAAATAAAAACGCGAATTTTCATGCGACATAGCTTCACATGCATTTTATTTCCTTTAATAGTTATATCAGAATTAGATCCCATCAGGAAACAAATTTATTGTTTCGTATCAAACAGCTTTTAAGATAGATTTTTAGTCGTCATCGAAATTGTCGTGATTTGCCTCTCACGAATTGCATATATTAACGCTTGTGCCTTGATTTCTGGATACTCGAATGAGATACCGTTGATATATGTGGTCTCTAAAAAAAAGCAAAAAAGTAACTACATAGATGAGGATAGTCAGTAATATATCATTTTATGTAGATGCTTAGCTGAACATAATCTAGTGTTAATGCATTCAATCTCAACGCTTCACTTTTTCTTCTCTTGTCGTCAGTGTACAGCCATCTGATTGTATGACTATAATGTTTTGTTTTTTATTTCACTTTCTTTATTGTTACGCTCGAAAGTGCTTACAAATAATGGTCTATGCATTCACAGCTGTTCGATTACACAACCATGCGCGATATCAGCCTACAAGAAACACCATTAAATTATAATAAGCCATGTTTTGTAGATAAAATGCAAAAACAGGGAAAAGTGAAAAATGAAAAAGAAGGACAACGAAAGAAGAGAAAAGCTAGTAATAATACGAAAAGGAGAAATAAAAGAGAAAAGGGAGGAGTAACGATTTAAAGAATGATGTGAGTAACATATCAATTAAACACGTGGCAGAACTTCATACACATAAACTTAAGCCATTGAAGAAGCAGTGATTGATGTCTTTCACACATAAGTCCAACTCGTTTCATTCGAAAAAAGTGTCCCACATGATCATTTTTATTTTTATGAAATGTATTCCAATAGAATACATCATTGTAGAAGGGTGAAAGACTTAAATTTGATTTTTCAATTCGTTCTAATCGTTTTTTATATATCTTTTCTTTTCACACATCCTTCTAATGGCTCTTCATTTGTTATTTGAAGAAGATCTGTTGTTCGAGCAAAGGGACAGCGATGAATTAGTCTTAATCCGTATCTAAATTTCCTTAGGAGTAATTCTTTTTCAATTTTGGACAGAAAGGGACAGAAAGGAAATATCTAGGCAAAATATAGGAAACTGAAAGCAAAGAAACATCTTCGTAAGACATCTTTTGAGAGAGTTTTACCACCTTGCATCCATCTTAATTTACTAAACGTTCTTTGAATGTTTTCAAGTGCTTTGCCTATTGTTGGTTTCAAAGACATCTTATTTGCCGAAGTAAGACCAAGATATTTAAATTCTTTAACTACTTCTAGTTTTTTACCTTCCATATAGATTTCAACTATTGGATTTTGTACTCGAGAGTGAAAAACCTGAACTACTGTTTTTGAGAAATTAACTGGTTGTTTCCATTTCTTGAAGTAATACGCTATTTTATTACATATTTTTGTTTGTTCTTCTTCTAAAAACTTAATCATCGACTTAACTCATCGATATATAGGTGGGGATATTATTACGTTGAGATCGTCAGCAAAAATATGGCTTGAAAAAGCACCTAAACATGTAACAAGATCACTATGATAGGCAATGAAAAGATAGGAACTTGAACTGCTGCCTTGAGGCAAACAAATGTGAGTGTAAAATATTTTCGATTTATTCTCTCCAAATTTAACATACACTCGGCGATCATTTAACCACGAAATAATTAACTTCAATAGTCCTAAGGGTATAGTCATTCTATTGCGTTTAACAACAAGACCTTTATGCCATACTTTATCGTATGCCTTTTGATAGTCAACGTAGACTGCTGGTGTTGGAATATTTGCAGTCATATTGTTTTTAACCTCTTGAAATATAGATAGGACTCTCGTCTGGAATAAATAACCTGAACGAAATCCCGACTTCTCAGCTGGCCCTAGTCTATTACTTTCTGCCCAGTATCTCAGTCTTTCTAGCATAATTCTTTCAAATAATTTTGAATGTGTTGCTAAAAGTAAAATTGACCGAGTCTGATCGCAACGAGGTATTACTGCTTTTAATTTATTCAGTGTAACTACTTTAGTTAACTTCCACATATCGGGATATCTGCGTTCATTTAGCCAAGTATTAAAACAATTTACTAAACAACTAATATAACCAGGTGGAATTCTTATGATTATAAAGTTAGACACTGCATCGAAACCAGATGATTTTTTCTGTTTCAACTTTAAAATGTGCTTTTTTATTTTTGTAAAATTCGCCTTTTCAATCTTTTCATTTAATATCGAAAGTTTATTAATCAATTCTAGATACTCTGTTTCAATTTGATTTTCATGGGCATCGGACATATCCGCATTTTGTGCTTTAAACTGTTCCGAATAATAACGATAGAGGTCATCACTAATTTCGTTTTCTTTTGTCAATACTGTTTTACCGGTATCTAATTTCGAAAAGGGTAGTGATTTATGTTTATATATCCGAGAGAGATATAATCAAAAGCTCTATCTGTGTTGTCATGCGTTTCTTGAATTTTAGACAGAAACTCCTGCCATTTACTCGATTTATATTTTGCAATTTCTATCTTTACGTCACGTGACAACACACGTAATAGCACTCTTGTCTCTTCATTCATGTTAAATATTGTTTTCTCAAGATAATATTTATTTTTTATTCTTTTTACTTTTTTCAGTTTCTGAATAAAATAAGGCGGTAGTGATGGACACAATTTTTCTTTTTCTTTCCATTGTGTACGTCTGACTTTTAGAGCAGCAAGAAAACGTACATAATTCATATACCACTCATCAGCTTGCATGCCTCTATTTTTCTCATTTATCCAAAACTCCTGTAACAGCGTAAGAATGGCTTCATACGCCTTCCAATTCACATGTGGGAAGATTTTATTCTTATCAAAACCCACATTCTCACATGTTATCAACAGTGGCCAGTGATCACTGGTACCCATTGTCAGGGTCTCTCCTCTTACCTCATCTATATTTGTAAATGATAGATCAATGTTTCTATTCTGACGTTTTGAAGAGTGCAGTGTCGATGGAATGTAGCAAAGATTATTTTTTCCACCCATTCCTTCAAGTTTCTACCTCTTTTATCTGATGACTCACTACCCCATTCTTTTATGGATGCATTAAAATCACCAGGGATAATTATGTTTTCAATGATATATGGTTCTAAATCTTCTAACATCATGATCTGACCTGCTGACCAGTAAAAAGCGATTACTCTTATTGTTTCAGAGAAATGATTAATATCAATAATAACAGTATTTTCAACATTAATTTATATTCTCGTACTTTTTAAATGTTTTCCTATTGCTACATATACTCCTCCGCTTTTATTTGTACCATGTCGATGAAAAATATTGAAATGAGTCACTCGAGATGTATTCCACAGCTCTCCGACTTCAATAAAAACACAAATAGAGGCCTCTACTTTATAAACAATATCAATTACCTTAAGGCATCTGAACTCCCATCCTTGCACGTTATAACAGAGGATATTTAATGGAGTTTGTTCTCTTTGAATTTCTTTAGGTGAAATATTTTCCCATTGTAAGAGAATATTTTCTAGAGTACCTGATGTAAACCATTCTGCAAGGATTTTTCCACTAGTTTTTTCTCTTTTTCTTGGGAACTCCATTATTGACAAAACTGTTTCATCGTAGTCTCTATAGAATTAGCTGTTTGAAAAGGAGAAAAAGAATTTGCGTCTACTCTTAAATTTGAAAATATGATACTCATCTATTTGCTCATATTTTGATTAAGTTCATTGTTCGTAGTGATGTTAGGCGATTTTGAAGGTTGTTGAGATGGCGAGAGCTGTGATGATGGAGATGTACTGCGTTTACGTCGAGCTGAATACTCCGATTTTAGATCACGCAATAACAAATCCACGTTACTTAATAGCGTTTGTAATTGTGAGCCATCACGGGCCAAATAAAGTCACAAACGATTGATACGCACATAGGTAATCATTTCTCCAGTGTTTCTTGATGAAGTTCCGTATCCAGAGCAGATTGATTGACCTTATCGTTAATACGATCTAATTTTTCAGCAATACGATGTGTATTCTCCTTCATATCTAAGATATTTTTGTTCAGCGATACCAACATTTTTGTTACATCTTCACTTCCATTCATATTAGTTGTTGTGGCTATAATGTGACTGATTTCTTATGCTAAAACAAACATCGATTGATTGCAATGCTTATATCCATCTCCAGTACCTTACGATTTACGTTGTGTACTGACAATGCAATGCTTTCGATTGGATGATGAAATCTCTCTGAAACATTGAGAAAGTTGCAGTGCAATTTTGAAACGTACATTCTTAATATACCACTTAATTTTCAATAAAATCATTAAGCCTATGAAAGGAAATTAATATGTATGGAAGTATTAACATATTGCTGAGAGATTTTCTCTATTCATAAGAACCATTGTATATTAATTATTTACACTTAGACGTCTGATTGACATAATAGCATTACTAATGTACATCAATATCGATGTAACACTACTTTTTCTACTGAATCACGTTGTACTGTAGATTCAAATCGCATACGGTTCATTTTCTTCTCGCTATTATCATTGGAGTGAACATGAGTCGAATTTGTATTGGTTTGATTTCAGAAGATATTGACCTGTAAGGCATAGACGGCGGACCCATTAGGCTTATGGAGGCTCATTTAATTTGAAAAACAAGTTGTAGAAACAGACCACCTATTAGTACCAGATCTTTTTTGTTTTCAATTTCACCTCTTATCATCCTCATCCTCTGAAAAACATTTGGAGCCTCCTCTAGATTGAAATCGTTCTGTTGCCGTTGCTGTAAGGTATTGTTCTATTGGTATAGAGCTAGAACGACGGATATATACATGAGAAGTTAGATGAAAAATAAATACTGTGGAAATAAAAGCAAATCATTGAATTATTTTGAATTGAATGTGCTACTATATTTATGTCATGCGTTTCACATGTGGTTGAATGTAGAAGAATAACATGCGGTACATATCTGAGTATGAGTAGATAATTGTGAATAACGTAAAATATGTCCTATTCTATAGATGAAACCAGTCAAGTCTTTTGGCAACCAAACAAAATCAATAGCGATCAGGTCAGATCTATTGATTAACTAATATTGCTAATTAGTATAGTTTTTAAGCACAAATCAAATGATACCGACAACAGAAAGCCCAATCACATTTACACATACCCCAAATAAATTTCTATATCGATATCTTTTGAGATATGAAACGGCTTTAAACTCTGTTTTTCTTCTCGACAGCCTATTCATCAAACAGAATATTAAGAATTTTTGAGTTGGTGACTTATATTTATTGCCTTGGTTAAAAAAATATATCTTGCTCTCATAAATTATCCAAACAGATTGGCTTGTTCATGAAAACCATCAGCAGTGAATAGTCGATAGCCATGATGTATAATCGTACACTGGATATTATTAAAGCTTGAATGAACTTCACGAATACTTTTAATATTATTATATTCAATATCATTTGGAAATTCAATAATATTACATCCAAATTGACTTAAATATTTCAGCCGCTCTGAAAGCATTCGTGCCAGAGCAACAAAAAGGGTATCGCAACACCATCGAAGATATATCCTCGTTACATTTGGAATATCAAGAAGAATATCATTAATTTTTTCTAACGGTAATGATCTACAACTAACCAAGAGAATGAACGTTTTTAGATTATGATTAAGTGTTTTAGTTGGTAATTGTGTCGCTATTTTTGAATTATTCTTAACTAGATTTACTTGAAATCGTTTAAGATTTGGACATACCAGAAGTACCATACGTATTACAATAGATCTAGTACAATTAATACATAACACACGAAGAGAAGGTGACCAAGACGACAAAGATATATAATTTACATCTATTATACCTAAATCTGCATATCGAAGAGAAGGTAGTTGATTAGAAAATATGTTACGAGCTAGTTTTGCTGATGATTCAGTAATATTTGGTATTGGAATAAAAAGATACATGAGATTAGGCATACAATCATATCGAATCTGTTGCAATTGTTTGTCACTTGCGTTGTACAAGCTTAGTGAACGCAAATTAGGAAAGTGATCTATGTCTATAATATCATAATGATTAGAAACTTGTAAACGAAAGATTTTATCCGCAAATGTTTGAATTAACAATGGTTCGTTTTTATAAATAATAAGCGAAAGATTCTTGAGTGATCGAACAATATAATTAATTCGCCTATTGAGTGCCCAAAAGCTATAATATAAATCTCGAGCAGAAATATACTCGAAAACATCAAATAACAATTCGTTAGGTAGGTCTTCCAATAAAGTCATCATATCTAAAATAGCAGATTATTTCTTTTAGTTTTTATTATACTAAGAATAATTTATTTTCAAAGAATTATCAGTGATATCAATATTTTCCACTTTATATCAAGCATTCTATTAATAGTATGAAACACCTTTGCGTATTCTACTGAAGAACTTCTTATTCGCAACTAAACTGTTGATCAACTGTGTTTGTTACTTAAGTCATCTTTCTGTTATCATAAATATTTTCCACAATCTAACATTATTGCTCATTTACTTAAAATGAATTTACTCAAATACGGTGCTTTACATCTTTTACACGAAAAATTCCCACGGAATGGTCAAATGACGCATTCTTTGTGATAAGTCTTATTGGTACAAAATCGAATATATTCTACTTAGAAGTTTCTATCGATTCATTTATTCATTTCAATTATGATGAAATACGCTCGAAGAACGTTGCTACAGACTAGGGGTGACCCTTTATCTTTATTTTCCTTTATACTAAAGGATAAAGATAAATGAATCCTTTATCTTTAGAAAATAAACGTAAATGATTGAAAAACCATCTATAATTTAGTTTCTTAAACATAGATGGATCATTTTTCTTTAGAAGATAATAGGAAATGATTAAAAAACAATTTATCATTTATTTTCTAAAGATAAATGAATCATTTATTTTCTAAAGATAAATGAATCATTTATTTTCTAAAGATAAATGAATCATTTATTTTCTAAAGATAAATGAATCATTTATCTTTATTTAGTAAAGTAATACTAAATGACCACCCCTACTACAGACACCAAAGCAGAGATTTGAATTCAAACCCCACTGTACAGTCCTTTCAATGTGCCATTCAAAAATACAATGAAATGTGTTGAAGGATATAGCGATGAAAGTCAACCATCTCCTATAGTTTCTATAAGCTTTGAGATAGGGATTGTGCTAGAGGCTTTTTGTATCATATCTTGACCATTCTATTACATCTTTCTCAGTAATATCTTCGCCAACAACTTAGAACATACAAATATTTCTTCTGTTTATTTATACCTTAGCGCGTGTCACATCTACGTGTACTGAAACTGTACTAACTAAAATATTTCCTTCATGAAATTTTTAGAATTTATTCTATGGAGCTTATTGAAAAGTGTGCAATACAAAATGATGTAAATATGATAAAACAATCATTAGATCAATTTTGCTTAGACCGTAAAATAAAAATCTGAATTCAATAGCCCTAAATCATGACGCTTGCGGCCAGAGTTCCTATATTCATAAACTAAGATAGCATGTAGATATTTTTGAAGTTAATCTACAGATATATCTACTTCTTAATGTGCTTCGATGATTCTCTGCAAAATCGACAATAAGAATTTCGACATAGGAACGTCAGCAATATTGGCAAACTTTTAAAACTGTCTAATCGTTTTTTGAAGCACACCAATAAAAGATTTTAGTGTAGTAATTTATTGTTCAGCTTTGAAACAATGAAATATCTCATGCAATTTGTTATGACCGTACTCTCGAGAAGGCCTAGGCAATTTTTTTAATTTGCCATTATTGCCAAAATTTCATGAAATCCCTAATTCGAGTTCGAATATAAATGAAGCTTCAACTGCACAACATCATTTTGAAAATAAAATACTGAGGCGTCACGTAGCTACAGTAGGAAGACAAACGATAAATTTTATCCCAATTATAAGGGTGTGGGTGACGGTTTGGCCTTAAGTTAAATTCAGTCACATCCACATATTCACCTCAGACTTAGATGCAACCGTTATTGACTGAAATAGATGCCAACATCGGTGTTCGGGCGCACTTACTTTACATTTTTCTCGACCGTCGGTGTGAGTGAGGACTGAGAGTGGGGGTAGGGAGGAGATCTCTTAACTGAAGTTATATGGATACCTAGATTCGAATTATATAAATCATAATTGGGATGCAATTTAAACTTTTGCTTCTACTATTTCAACATAGGATTCTTCAAAAATGTTATTTATATTCGGACTCGAATAATGCCTATACTCCGAAATTACTATTGAGAATTTCCGGTTTTACTCTCACAGTATGATGAATTTAAAATGATCGTATCGCTGCTGCCCTGAGTCATTGGATCCTCCTTTTCACAATTTCATCAGCCTTGGAGTATCTCTATGGTACAATTACAGGTAGGGGTGTACTATTTTTTTTAACGGAACTTAATTAATGACATTAATTAATGACTTCCATTAGCCATTAATCTTAATGGTTAATGTTTTCTGATAAAAACTTAATTCATTAATGTTAATGAGAAACATTAACATTATTAACATTATTCGATGAAGAATTTCATTCTGAATTCAACACAACCATTTCCAGAACCAACACAGCTAAAGCAGCAAATCCGGGCTGGAATTACTTCTACAAGATTTTCAGAAAAAGCAGTATTTCCAGGTAAGGTGCCAGATTTTGATCGGCAACCCCCTTTAAAAATTACACCATTCGATTTAGCGCAAAATTCTGCATCCAACACAACGAAAATGAAATTCAACACAACCATATAGGCGAAACCGGACTGGAAAAACTCGAATCTTGTGCTATCATCCCCAACGTTAAAAATATGATGATTGTAATACTGCAGAACAAGTAAGAATTAGAGTGAATAAATAATATAAGCGGAAAAAATGACCAATAGTTTTTATTTAACTCAGCGCGCAAAACAAAAAGGTGTAATACATAGATGGCAAGCATTGATGACAGTAGTGCGTGTGATGCTGTTGAAAATTTAAATAACCATATTTTTAAATTCAAATAAAAGTTTATTTGTGGTATGAGAATTTATTGTACTAATTAGATCAAGTTTAGCAATTCGATATGTAAGCGGGCTTCGATATTTCTTTTAGATTTCACTCCTGTAGAGAAATGCTTATAATTAATCAATGATGATGATGATCGGAAATAATTGATCACTAGTAGTTAATCAATTGTGTTAGTGATACAGCTATAGATATGAGTCCTTGATCGAAATATGTGAATTTGCAGAGAAAAATTAATGATACCATCTAAACATCGATATTTCAAAACGAAATATTGTAGTTTCTATTCAAAAACAAAATTCCTAGGCATACCCAATGTTTAAGAAACCTCGTGGTCAATGTTTAATTATAAATGTATATAATATTAATGGAACTATACGTCTCTGGTTCGATTTAGTTGTGAAATTATTAAGTGATCTTTTTTGTCAATATTATACTTTAATGTAATTATTTATTCCAATTTTAATGGCGATGATCTTGGAGCAGAAATAAAATTAATTGTATTTTCATGTTAGTTTTTATTATTATATCACAGAATTTTATGAAAATTTTTAACAATTTTCTCAATCAAAAGAACATGTCAATGCACAGTGTTGTATTATTTGGTTGATGAGTCATAGAGAGGAAGGTTCATTAGCAGTATAAGATGGAAAAAACGTTTGTTGTTAGCAAACACTTTATAGATATCATAGATTTATTATTATTATTTTTTCTTCTACAGATTTATCATGATCATGTATTTGATCTATTCAGCAATGTAAATTGTCCTAATTTAGCTGGCAAACCAAAACTCTTCTTTATTCAATGTTGCCGTGATGCTATGTATATATACCCAGGTCAAATACGTACGGCGGGAAACTGTCTGATCCGGTGATTTTTCATCGAATTCCGGAAGCAGTATTCCAAAACGTTTTCCGGTCTCCGTTTCCAGAGTATTTCCCGCTAATTCCTGGCTCTGGAAGCCATAAGCAGATACGGCTTCCGTTTACAGCAGGATTCCAGACTACTTTTCCGATCGTTTCCTCTTGACGATCGGAAACGAAGAAATATGAATAGTTTCCGATCTAGATACGTAGCCAGGATCTGACCGTTTTCAATCCGGGTATGGAATCCGGATTGCACCGTCCAACCAACCGGATCCGGCGATTAG